GGGAATTCAGGTGCCTTGCTTCTTTTTGTATTTGACTCCCTTTCTTGGTGCACTCTTGGCTAAAGTGCGATGAGAAGAGTTGATGTTACCGCTGTCTGAGGACTGATCAAGTCACTTCACTCCCTTGTGATGGAGTTTCAGAAAACTTTAGAGTTTAAGTGTTTGGTCTGAAATCCATGAGGATCCTTATGCACACACGATGTGAATGGTTCCTGAGGTGCAGGAATTGTCAACACCTTCTTGTGAGTCAGCTTCTCCATGTAAACCCCATCTCTCCTTTCTTCCCAGGCACAGCAGACACCTCTCACCAGGGTGTCAAAAGCAAGGTTGTCAACACCAGGTTATCCAGGGTGCTCCTTGTTAATCAGCTTTGGTTTCTCCATCATCGTTTCCACTGATTTAGTTTATGGGTGCTAGAATGTTCAGGGAGTTTGTGTAACAGGGATATGATACACACTGTTGATACTTTGGACCCCAGCTTGTGTCAAGACCAAATTACACAGGGATGAGGCTGCTTGCAGTGAGACCATAGCTGAAACATACTTGTCTACTGTGATCAGGGTTAGCTTTGGAGCAACAATGACAGCCCATTATGCAGTATTTTCTTACAATGTGCAATCTTAGGTGCTTTGTATGCATTATTCTTAATTGTATTCCCACAATGTGTCCACTGCTCCTGCACTAAAGCAAAACAGCTCCAAAACGTAAGTGGCGCTGGAAGTGAGATTGAGAAAACACCACTGGAACTGGGCAGGGAAGGGTTCCTGCTCTGTTTATTTGTGTTGGGTCTGGGTCACAACCACTGTGACTCTTCAGATTCACTTTTTTCCCCTGTTTCATGCCCAGGAAGAGACTGCGACATTGCACAGAAGGCAGGGCATTTTAAAGAACACATGAACTATAAGTCATAGAACAGTTTGTGTTGGAAGGAACTGTAAAGATCATCTAGTTCCAGTCCCCCTGCCATGGACAAACATATGCATATATTTTTTACCTGTGGAATTGTTTTATTTAGATCACTAGAAGAGAAGTGAAAAAAATCTATGCAGTTGTCCTTTGTTACGTTTTGGCTTTACATTTTTTGCCTATGTCAGCCTGGGTAATTGAAATCCTTGAGGTCAATCTTACTTTCAATTCCTCCTTTGCTGTGCAAGTTAGGGATGCTGCAAGGAGAACTCTCTTTTCAAACCACTGTTTTAATTTGAATTTCAAATGATGTGGATGTGTTTCTGTTGGCCTTGAGTTTAACTGAAGGTTGTTTTCACAAATGGTAGGACCAAGTTAAGGCAGCCACAGGGTTTTGGATCCCCTTGCTCCAGTTCTTGGGATGTGCTGCTCTCAAAGCCTGGAGTACAGTCTCCCTTGAGTGTGAAACAGGGTGCAGGGCAAAGATTGCCCTGTGGCTGCCAGTGTTAATACCAGCCAGAACTGCAGCCCTGGGTGAAATTTCAGCAGCCACCACTGCTCTCAAACCATCCAGTGGTTAGGTCATATAGCCAGAATTTCAGACAGTAGCTATCTCCTTCATAAAAAAGGCTGTGGAAACAGAAGAAACTATTTTCTCAGTTTCCTGTATGCACCTAGTGACATTACTTTAATGGCATGAACTGTACAACAGACATTATTCATGTCTGTTTATCTCTCCAAGGTTTGGCCTTCAAATTGTTTCAGTATCTTACGGCTGCACGGATGTACTCACTGTCCAGCACGACTGAGAAGGAACATAAATCTGCAGTTCACCTTGGCCTGCAGACAGTGTTGGGTTCACTTTCTGCCTGGCTATGTGAATCAGGTATCCCACTCTTCCAGCTGCAAATCAGGCATTGTGATTAATAATCACAATGAGAGAGCTAATTACTACTGGCATGTAGCTGTTTTATGTTTCTCTCTTTTCTGGAAGCCAAATCCAACCATATGGAAAAATGTAGCTTAGACACTATAAATATGATTCCACTTAGACAGTCATCTCTTCTGTTTTCTGTTATCACAGCAGTGTCAGCACAAGCAAAACAATGAAAGTGAAGAGATGCTGTCGCAAATTTTATTACAAGTTTGAGGTCTTGGGACTTTTTTTTTTCTTCTTCAAGGACACTGTGTTAATCTGAAGAAAGAGGGCTTGATTTGTGTTCATTTATGCCTGCCACAATTATTTAAGAAATAGCTTCAGTGATCATACTTGAAGAGCTCTGGTTCTTCTTTAACTATTTCTGGCAGAGCTAGAAAGATATGCTTTGTGCTTTGTATCATGACAACTTGTCTTCTCCAATAAGCCACATTTTAAATTGTGTCAGTACTCTCTACATTCAAAGTAGCTGTCTTCTGTTCATTGCTGTTGGAATGAAGCTGTTGACTGTGTGTCTGCAGTGCAGCCAGCAGCAGCAAGTGAGGATTTCCACAGAAAGTGAAGGCTGTAGCAGCAAATGGCAGATGGGCACCAGGCAGTGATTGAATCCAAATAGCTAGGAATCTTGGGGCAGAGCCACTTCTGATTTTCATATTGATCTTCATAGAACCTACCAAATAAAAAAAAATCTGCATTGGAGAACCCATTCACAAGGCTGGTGTTCTAGTATCAGCCACTGAAACTTTACTGACATGGGAAAAGCACAGGCAAGTTAAATAAAATGAGGAGGAGTAGGAATATCTCTCATCATACTCTGAATCTCTGTGAGATTGTTGTAAAGCAGAGACTGTCTTCTGAGAACAGCAAACAGTTCTCCCCAAAGCCACTTCTTTGTGTTGGCTTTTTAGACTTTTTAAACTATTTTGTCAAGCATTCATAGACTGGATTAGCAAATACGACTTTACTGAAAGAGGGAGATGTCAAGGATGGGTTTCCAAAGCACTGTGTCGAAGGAGTTTAGGCGAGGAGCAAGAGCGAAAGGCCTTTGTGCTTCTGCTTCCCATGAAATCTAAAGGAGAGCATCCTGACATGGTTTAGGGTTCTAGGGGAGTGAAAAAATCTGGAAAGAAATAGAAAAATACCTGCTGCAATGGAGGCAGGGGCAGGGGAGCCCTTCCTTTCCTTTTCTTTACTGTTGCAGTCTTGCCTTGCAATGGATGTCTCAAATGGATGTGATCAGCTTTTCACTGATCTTTTGAAGTAGTTGACTTTCTCTTCCATAGGAGTATTTTCTTTGGAGATGCCTCATTTTGTTTGTGAAAAGTTTCAGAAATAACTTCTGTTACAGCTATTCCTATCTAAGCCTTAAAGTGTATACATAACCCTTACACAGTTGCATCAATATGACAGAGTTTGGTTTGGGTGTGTTTCCCCGCTTTAAGATAAAAGTTGTCAGAAGTAAGAATGAAGTAAATTATGGTAAACCATAATCTAGTGCCAAAAAAGGTTCTAATTCAATTGTCTCATCAAAAGCCAGCATCATTATAGACATTAAACCACTGCTCTGAAGCTGATACAGAGAACTCTATGACATCTCATATCATCTTTCTGTCTCAAGAGCTGCTTCCATAATCATTTCTCTTCCAAGTCTTCTGTTCAGTGTACTACTTCTTTTGACACTTAACCCACTAGCGTTGTGTACTGTATGTATTATGCATTGCCTTTTGTGCATGCCATATATTACAAAGAGCTTTCTATCCCTAAGGGTTTCTGCAGCTATTTCTGTGAGTTTGTCCTACAGGGCACTTTCATGAAAGTCATCAGTTAGCCTCCGCTGTGAAGAAAGGGATAATAGTAACTGAAAGTAGGCCAAGCTCATTAGATTATGATTAAAAGGCAGATTATTTTTTTTTGTAGACTGAATGTGGTTCCAGTGGGTGGGCACTGGGCAGAAGTGGTGTTGGTGAAGTCACAGGTATTGCATCTTTGGTCAGTCTGTATTTTCAGTTATTTTATAGCTTTAATTGAATACTGACTCATGAACACAACAGTGACCTTTAATTTCATTCAAGTGACTTTCTTTCATGAGTCTTAAAAAAGAAATGCCATGCATGATCCTGCCTTTGCTGTCTAGGATGAATCTAAAGCAGACAGTTGAAAGCATAACTAAGTTTGTTTCAAAGCAGGCTTATAATTTGCCCCTTATAATGCTGTATCTTCAGCTCCTTTGGGAGCATGTGTTTCTCCACTAGAAACAGGGGATTTTCCCCCGGAAGTAGTTTAGAACCTGCCTTGAGGTCCCCAAGCTGGTGAAGTCCCAGGCTGACCCAAGGACCTTGGCATGAGGACCTGGTCCCAGCCCATTGGTGGGAGCTCTGTACTCCCTGCATAACTCTGGTGAGGCTGCAGAGTCAGTGGGACCCCCTATCCCCACTTTCACCTCTTCCTCTGTCAAGACAATGACCTGCCTATTTTAGTGTCTCAACTGAGCTGGAGTAGCAGGGTTGGCAACTTCATCTCTGTGGCTGAATTTGAAAACAATTCATGAGATGCAGTCCAAGTAGTAAATCATCTGTACAGGCACTGTGTGGGGTCTGGGTTCCTGCAGCCCACGGGTGCTCAGCTCCCACCTGCAGCCCTCTCTTTACTGTTTGCTCTGGTCTCTTCAGACACAGTGCAGTGCTCCACATGTGGCTGCCTTGGTGGCTGGGAGGGTTTTTCAGGAGGCGGGACTGGGTAAGGTGCCTTTTATTTCACTAGCAAACCCAGAAAAGCTGTCAGGCCTCACCCTCCTCTCCTTTGTCAATCAGAAGCAAGTAGGAAATTACAGATTGTAGCCTCTGTCTTAATTAGCGTCCTGCTATTCTTGTCCTCTTGCATCCACAGTAACTATTTATACACATAAGACTACACACAAGCCCGAGGCTCCCTATTTTTCCTTGACCAGCAGTACTCTTCCTATGTAAGGTGGTAACTCATCTCTTTTGAAACATACACTGGCATTTTTCCTGCTTGTTAATCATCCATATTTCACTGGTCACCATGATCATCACAGGTTGTACTCCAAGTGATTCCTTGGAACCAGATGATTTCCATGAGTACTCAGCATTTAAACACAACTTGCTATCATGTCTCTCTTTCCCTCCTTTCTCCTTAGATGTAAAGGAGCATCCCACTATGGCCTTACCAAGGAACGGAAGAGGCGTTCCCAGGACTGCTCTCCAGACCACGGCTCCAGCTTAGCAGTAGCTGCCCTGGGCCCTGAGCTCTCAGCAGCTGCGGCCATCGCCTTAATGACAGATGAGCCAGGGCTGGTGAACCCAGCCTTCAGCCCCACCTCAGAGGACAGCCAGCTGGGGAGCAGCCCCGGAGACCTGCACCGCAGCAACCGGAACAGAAGTAAGAGCCAACAACGGTGGCTTCGGAGCCTGTTAGCCCCTTGGAACATTTGTTTTTCTGTTAAATATATGTCACTGGAGGATTAAAAAAATATAAATAAAGAAAAAGGGGTGGGGGAAGTGAAAGCTTTCATTTTACATGGTTTATCAAATTGTGCACTCGGTGACCCAATGGATTTGAGGTGAAAAAAAAATGGCTTGGCCTTGGGCAGAATCAAGCTGAAGATGGACTAGCTGCACACATGTAAACTGAAAATCTTTAGAAAGATTATTTAGGTAAATCAGCTCAGTTGAAAGACTAAATGTTATGTGTGATGGGCTGGGAGATGGTGTAGCTGGGTAATGTCTCCACTAAAACTTGGTGGCCCAAGTAACCCCCACAGGCATGGGCACCTACCCAAAATCCTGTTTTGCCTTTGCCAAGTATTTTCAGAAAAAAAAATCCTTAAGAATTGCCTTAGGAGTTTGGGAGACGTCTGCCAGCTTCTCGGGAAGGTGCAGTTTGGAGGAACTGGTCCTGCTGAAATAGCAACAGTCAGGGACAAGCTGCATCAGGAAACTTTGCCTTGATCTTTCACCTTGTGACATTGCACCTGTCTCTGATGAGTGTCATGTGTGATGGCCTGGCCAAAGCCAGAGTCAGAAGTGTTTATGGTGAGTTCAAAGCATGTATTTGAGGATTCTGAAGCTAAAATGGAAAGCCCACCTTGTGTGCCGCCAGTTGCATGTTGGGAAAAGGGATGAATGGATAAAGAAAGTCTAGGAAATGAGAAGCATTATCCTTTTGTTGTGCCAGGGTTTGGAGAGGTGAGGAAAGGAAGGGTGCAAGAAGAGAGCACCAGAATCTCAATAAATTCTGTCAGTTTTATTGAGTGTAGAGGCCACAGTCTGGTTTCAGGGAATGTTGTATTATTAGATTACAATATTTGGCTAGCATGCAGAGCTGGAACAGACAGAACAGCAACAGCCATGAAGATATCTTTGGCAGGATGGAAAAGAGCAACATTTTTTGAAAGTATTATGACTTTTGTTTTGTATTGCCTTACCTGAGTCAGAATATGTGAATTTTTTGATCCCTCCCACCTGATAATATTTGAATTTTTTTACATTAAATAGTTGGCAGTCATTTGTGGCTTTAGAAGCATTGCAAGATTTTGAGGCAGTAGTGGGGATTTTTTTCAAGAAGTTTTTGTTAAAAAACTTGCAGCTTTTTTTGGTCAAACATGTGTAGCTTAGGAAGGGTGGTGCTTCTTCCTTTTATATGTATTTTTCACAGAATTGCTGCTGATTCTGTCTTGTGGAGGACTATTCTTTTTAAGGGTACCACACTCACAGGAGATTTCTCCATGTGGTTGGCAAAACAGACAGGAAGGTCACAATTTGAGGGTGTGGGGCTGAGTAGGGTGATTGTACCCAGATTCAGATGGGTGCAGCCTTGAAGTATCAGCAGGACTCAGGGGAAAAGGTGAAGTACTGTCAGCCCTGACTTTGATGTTACATCCCATCACATGCCAAAGGCTGTAGAAATGCTGCAGTCCTAGACCTGAACTGCTGAACTGTATTGATTTGGTTTCTTCCTGCTGTTGCAGCTCGACACTTTGAACGTTCCACTATAAGAAGCAGATCTTTTAAAAAAATAAACAAGGCATTCAGTGTTCTTCGAAGGACAAAAAGTGGAAGTGCCGTTTCCAACCAGACTGACCGGGAGAGGGAGACTGTTGGAAATTCTGCTGCTGGAGAGGAAGGTAATGTTTTGTTCATCTTGTGTTATCACTTAAAATGGGGTAGGGGGCTCTATCCACGTGGGAACTGGATATCCATAACTGATGTGCCTTTCGTCTGGTGGGCTGTGCATGATTAAAACAAACAGACCAGAAAATGCAATATTTCCTTATTTTCTTCTTTCAAAAGATGTCACTGACTGGCAGGCAAGAGTGTTGCTGGGGTGTGAGGGATCTCACACAGGGCTGTTCTGGTAACAGCCTGCATGCTATGGCCAGCCCTGTATCTAGCCCACGGGATGTGGGATCTGGGTATCTGGGATCTGTTACTGGAGCTGTCATTGATTTGCTCTGTAATTTTGTTCAAGTCTCTTCACTGGCATGTGCCTGTCCCTCTAAAGCAAATGGATAACAGTAATCATACTTCAGAGGAACTTAATGAGTTTTGGCTAATGTTTATGAAGCACTGGGAATTCCCAATGGGAGTATGGTATGAAAGTGCAAAGTACTGTAATTATTCCAGCATTTTTGTGGGCTCCTTTATTACCTCAGCCAGGAAGGTGATGAAGAATGCTGTGCTCTTAAACAGCAGGGAGAGGCAAGTTTTTCTGATGTATGTCAGGGATGAGGGGTCTGGCAGGTAGTAACACTTAACATTTGGCATTCTCAAAGCAATAAGCAAATGTTACTAATTGGTTTGGACCATAATTATGAAACCAACAGTGGCATTCATGCATCAAGAGGAAGTGATGATAGAGTGGGAATCAATGCCTCAATCAAGGTCTTCACTAAGCTTATTATTAATCCTTTGCTTGATGCCTCATGTCTCCTCCCAGATCAAATGTTCAGGATGCAGGCTTTAAGAATACAGAAGATCCAACTTCTTTTTGCTCTGTATTCAAGTTCTCATTGAAACATGCACAAAATAAGCACAAAAGGCTGCCAAATGCTACTTTCAGGCATCATTGTGATGCCATTGGGAATAGTGGTGAATCAGAGAACCATGTTCAATATTCTGCTTTATTTGCTTATACCTTCAGGAGAGTTTCACTCTGTTACTCTGTTCTTGGTACTTATTCTCCTACTTCACATATTTGCTGATAGAGCTGAAAAAAGGCCTGGTAATTCAAAATCATAAACCTTTTCCATAAAAGGAATGTGAATATACTCCTTGATCTGGAAACATAATGAATAATTGTATTATATTTTAAATAATTTTAAATAATTTTTATTATTAAAAATAATATTGTATTTTTTTCTCCAAGTGAAATTCTGCGGGTAAATTGTTTATATCTCTGTTTGAGCAGGCAGATATATTTCTCATTCCATAGCAACTCTTCAATCCACTGTAAGCAAAAGCTTGCCGTTTTTTAGAATGAGAGAAATGCTCCATGCTTCAAGTTTATATTTTTCAAAATACATCTCTTCAGGTTGACATACCAGACCACTTTCTACCTAGACATATAGCTGATATTAGTAATAGTTCCACAGAAAACTTGGCTTCATGTCCAGAGTCTGCAGATGATCTGGATGTCAACAGCACCTATCAAGTAGCCCAGTGCAATCCAGATGTTAACAGAAAAGTGTGAAGATGACACTGATCTTCACATTTCCAGCAAATGAAAAGCATTGTTGTCTCTGTAAGGGATATATAATGGCAATCACTCCAGGGCCCCACTGACAGTGTCAGGATTGTCATTCTCTCCTTGGCTCTGCTTGTGGTTTCATTCCTCTGCACTAAGCACGCCTGTAAACTTCCAAATGTATTCTGCTGCACTGGAAAAACCAGGTAGGCATATAATTACTTAATAAGCAGTTACTCTTAAGCATGAGATCACAGAAGCTGGGTAGCTAAATTACTTTATTAATTACATTTTCAAAGAATGCATTTTGATTACACAGTTTTGGAATCTGGTCTTTAAAAATATGCAAGCAAGTAACTTGAAGCAATACAAATGCAACTTAAACAAAGATTTCTATTCAGTCCTTTGCAACAGGTGCTTTGTGTATGGCAACTCAAATGCTTTCTCAGTTTCTTCTTCTTGGAGGAAGAAATGAATGTACTTCTTTTTGTAGCAGTTATCATCATTCTGCCAGCTGGGGTTGGTTTTCTTCCCCAGTTGTGTATGTTTTCTTCTTTTATTTATTTTTTCTAAACCTCAGCTGCTCTGAGCAGTCTGCAGCTAGCATTCTGATTAGAGCTGTTGATCTGTCTTTAGGAATAGCTGCCGTATGCACTGCCCTGTGCTCACTAAAAGTCTTGTCTATTGAAGAAAAGGGAGCCCTGCATGTCTGTCTTACCATTGCCACTCTCCTGGGAATGGGGGTACACCTGTGGGGTGAATGATATAGCTCCTGACTTCAGATGTCCCCAAGCACAGTGGGAAAGCTGCTGCTGCTGTTTTGCCCAAAGTTTCACAGGTTTGGGTCTGGGACCGTCTGAGAACACAACTCAGCCATGATTCATTGCCCCAGGAGAACAGACAGCACCTCACCAACTCTCTGGTGACCACTTTCCTCACCAGATTTAGTCAGTGCATGAAAGGAATAAAGCTGAGACTATACCAGCCTCACTATGAGGACAGAGTGATATAAGCCCCTTCTTGATGATAACCTCTTCTTAATAAAGGAGAGGTAAGATCATCTAGCAAAGCTCAATGTATAATTCATCTGACAGTTTCCAGAATGCCCCATCTTAATTCACATGTCTCTGTTTAATATGTTTTGCCTGTATTTTGGTCAAAGGAGCTCTGAGAATGAACACCTTAACAAGTAACCATGTATTAGCCGTCAGCAACCCTTCATGCAGAGTGTGTAGGTGCCTTTAATCTGAAGCTGCTCTGTTTGTTGAGTCAGTGCTCAGTTGCAATATGACTGAGAGAACAAGACAAAATAATAGTTTCTGATGAGGGCGAAAAAACATTCAAATTCTTAACTTGCAGCTGAATCTAGTACTGGTTTTGGAAAATTCTTTGACTCTCAAGGACATTGTGAAATATGATGTACAATATCAAACGTGTTTCTGTTATAATTACAGTAGAGAAATAGTTACAGTCTAATCTTACACCTGGAGCTGGAAGCCATCCTGAACTGTGGAGATTGCTTCACAATTTATGCTTATATCCTGTGCTTTGATTTGTCTAAACAATATTTTATGTTCTCAATTTGGATTTTAATGATTCAGGTTTTCTTTGTTTCTCTGTTTTTGTGACATTTTCAGTAGAGAATTGTTAAATGTCCAAATCAAAGGAAATGTTAGAGGTGAATGAAAAGTACACACACTAATGAGAAAATATTTTGGAGGAAAGAACTGTTAAGAATTTCTCATTTTTAATTCTTTGTTATTTGTAAAATCCCATGCAAAGAAATATTTGTCTGTAGGCAGTACCCAAGCTTGTGATAGTTATCTGAGAGCAATTTCATTGACAGTATTTACAGCTACAAATAGCTTTCCAGGTCTAAAGTAGAAGTTTAGAAAGTTCAGAAAGTTTAAAAGAATGAAATCTTCATTATGAGATGTGAGGGAAGGTGACAGGGACATGCTTATGGCACTGATGCATTTAAGATGTAATATCTTCTGACGAGATCTACTAGTGTAAGTGACCTTGACAATCTACTTAAATGATAAAATATCTCCAAGCAAAGACATCTCCAGCTTTGTTATTCTTATTTGTATCACTGTGCTCTTAGTTTGGCTTTACACTTTAAATTCAGGTCCAAGAAAGAATATATATGTTTTGACTTTCGAAAACATTCATTAATTTCATTTTGCAGTCAAGCCATTGTAAAAGAAACTTAATTTAGGATTGCTTGGGGATGGCAAATGTCTTTCAAAATCAAACTCAGTCTCATAGTGGATGCAGTTCTACCATCTGTTACTGCTTTGCAGCAGTCAAGACCAAGGCAGCCCCAACAGGCACTGGCAGAACCACAGAACAGGCATCCCTCTTGTACTGCTCAGTGTGAACCCTGCTGTATTTTTGATAGATAGATAGATAGATAGATAGATAGATAGATAGATAGATAGATAGATAGATAGATAGATATTATAAATACTTCAGTGTTTGGAAAAGTGCATGAGAAAAAAGAATGTAAGTGAAACACAAATGGTATCAATCATCTAATGGTATTAAGGCTTTCTATATGCAAACAAAAAGGTGGTTTATCCAGCCCCAGGAGAAGACACTACAGCCCATCTTCTGTCTCAGGAAGGCTGCACTCCACAGAAATCCTGCACTATTCCATATTTTCTCATATTTGATTCAGTTGCCATTCTGATTTCCCAAAACAGCTGTTACAGAACTTGTTCAAAGTACTCTGCTCTGGAATGATAAGCCAGGAAATTTCCCAAAGAAGGAGACTGTCTCTGTAGCATTTCCTCTACTGCAGAGTGATAAATCTGCCTTCTGTAAATAAAAGTCACAATTCTTTAGAGACACAGTCAACTCAGCCACAGTTTCATTTCAGTTCTTTTGAGACTCCTTTGGTGAGAGAAATGACCAGAAGCAAGAAGAGATATTAGAACTGGCAACACCTTCTACCTGTCAACACCATTCTCCCTCCATTGGAGAAACTTCACTGAAGAGTTAATAGAAGGCATTAAATCAAAGTTATGGCAAACCTCTGGGAAAATGGCATGAAAATGAAAATCTATTGGGAAGGAAAATTTGCAGAATAAAGTTCCCCACCAGTACAAGGGCATGTGACACTCACAGACACATGAATTTTCCAAGACTAGGTTACACAAGCTTAATTTAAATTCTGGTGTCCAGATGCTGGGAAGCATGAGTGTGTGTTCCTGCAGATGGTCCTATTTGTGGGGGTGAGCTGGCACATTAGTCAGGCTGCTTGATGTAAATGAGGACTTGCAACCACAGACACAAGTTTTGTTTACAGTGACCTTTGATTAATCTGGACTCAAGAGTCACAGCAAACATTGCACATTGTCACACTGAATCCTGGGAATGAAGGCAGAACTTACTCTCATGGCAGCACTGTTGGAAGGAACATGATAAGCAGAAGTCAGCAGAAACCTGAGCACTGAAGGAACGCTACCATTAAATATTTTATACTGTGGGGAAAAAATAGTAAGCATACTTAAAATTTTGTAATACTCTTTCATGACTACTATACTAACAAATGCTCAGTTTCCCACATTTGTACCAAGATAAGTGGAATTCATGGTGAAAAACTGGTCTCTCCTATGTTGTTACCATAATGTGACGTATGAAAGTATTGATAAAATTGCACACTAATACTAAGAGAACACTGCTTGAGAAAAAAGCCCACACAGTCTTGCTGAATGCAGGTGCACCAATGCACCTACTAATGTAGTGGTCAAGAAATAAAAATAGAGATCCAAAACCACTACATTTCATGGATGTTTCTGCCAGGTTTAACCAAAATGCTTCAAGGTGACATTTTATTATATTGACAGATTCAGAATGCTCCATACAACCCCCCGTGACAAAAACACAACACTCTGTGGGAAAACCTGGAAGAATCACCAAAAACAAGACAGAAAGTTTCCTTCTTTCTAGATTCAGCAGCTCTTCGATATTTAAGGACTGGAAATATAAAATGGTAAAGAAAGGTATGCAATACTCCTGGGTTTTCCTGCTGTGGAAAACCTGACCAAAGAAAATGGAGAATTTTAAATAAGAGTGTAAGGACTGGAAAATGGAGTCTGTGAAAAATAATACTCCAGCCTCACAAAAGAACATATATATGTGTGAAAGGTAGAAGCCCTCAATTCAGCTGGAGTTCCTTCACTTGGGCTCCTGAGGCCCCAGTCATTGCATGCAACAGGATTGCATGCTGAAGCAGGGTTCACCTTTTCTGGGTATGGTCTATACATAAAAAATTCATTTGGAAGACATTGCTTTCTAGACATAGCATCATCATGAAATACACATGGTAAGTTTTCATCAAACTGCACATAACGTACGCAGACTTTTTGGTGAAAAAGCAACTATGAATTTTCTTATTTTAAAAAAACATGTTTGTGTAGTTTATATATTTAGATTGCCACGCTTACTCTTAGTTTATCAAAATAGCCATTGGCCTTTTACTTACAACAGTCTAGGTTATTGATAATACAAATGTCCATGCAGATGTCTGGCCTGAAAAGAGGCCAGTCTTCAATTAAGAGAGCAGAAATTAATGGATCATAGAGGAGTTATTTTGGTTGCTTAACCCATCTAAGGAGAAAATATTTCTGTTTATTATGTATATTTGATAAAGAACACAAATCAAATGAAGACAGGAAGTGAGGCAGTACAGCTTGCTAACTATGAAAGAGTGGCATTAGAGACTTGCAGACCAGCAAAAGAAGTGTCTTGGAAAATTTTGGGTTGTTGTAGACTGCATTTTCCAGAAGGAAACTAGACATTAAAAACATCCTCTAAAAGAATCTGCATAAAGTCATATTGAAAGTCAGCCAAGTAGCACTGTAAGGCTTAACAAACGAGGTAAGGCATTGTTCAAAATGCAAAGAAATCTCTTAATGTTCATACATATGTAAAGATGTAGATAAGTCTTGTACAAGTGTAGAGACTTGTTCACTGCCATGCTTCCCTGATTTTGCTCTGGGATAATTACAGGTTGAAATAACATGAGAGTGTCAATAGTTTTTCAGTCCACAATTCTCCATGGACAAGAAATGCAACTGGATAATTCCTTTAGAAGAGTTTTTAGAATGAGCTATGGTAAAATGAACATCAGTGTCAAAAAGCATAGTTTGTTAGGATGTGAAGGGAGCATCATAATAGAAGTAGGTCTATAATAGCACTGTTTCAGTAGTCTTCAATATATACATGTATATTAATATATTTGCATGCAGGGAAGATCTAGATGTCCTGATTTTCATTTGTATTTTTACATAGAACTACCCTCACAGCCACACCGAGCGTGTGACATGTGCATGCTTATTCTGATGTGGGGATCAGGCTTTTGTATTGTCTGACTTTAAGCACCCCATGAGATGCCAGAGCTAATTGCCTCTTTTCTTACACAGCAGTGGGGAATGTTTGGCACCTCCAGGGGTGATTTGGCACAGGAATCTCTCTCTTTGGGTGCCTCTGCACTACAAATGAAGTCAGAGCAAGTAGATCACCAAACTGTGCATTTGAGACCTGGATTTAGATCAAGTGAATCCACCCTTCAGGCTAGAGAGAATTGAGCAAATTACAGCCTGAGTAAATAGTGTTTAGAAAATAGAGGAGCATGGGGGAAATGAAGCACCTTCCATTCCTGAGACATTAAAATTGCCTGCAAAACTGAAGTAAACATGTATCAGTACAGAAACTGTAATTACAAGAATAAATGGTTGAGTATTAGGTTGGTGAAGGCTGTGCAGTTATCTAGACAGACTTTTACTGCCTGTCAAGTCTGTGTAAAACCACAAAGCCGAAGTCTGTGCCACTGGTAGGTGCTTTTTACAGACGTGGAGGAGGACAGCTTCCCACCCTGAAGAACATATGATCAAAGAAGTGGTAAGGGATGCAACGTGGTGTTTCTCAATATTTTTTTTCCTGTTCTTTCTTTCCCCTTGCTCTCTCTCAAAAGGTTTTGGTGCCTTCTTGGTTTGTTGCCTGCTAACTCTGTAGTAGCAAGTATTTATTCTATCTCATATTCTGATCTATTAAGTTTCATTTTACACTTAATCACTATTCATTAACACTCACTGTACTTTCATTTCTAAAATAGGTATTGAAAATATTTTAGCAGTTAATTTTTTGACTTACAGGTTTGTCATATGTAAGTCCACTGGATTGGACTTACATGCAAAAAGTTTAAATGCTTTCTCTCATCTTTGAGGGATTTGAAATAATTGAAGGCTGCTATGCATGGGCTGGAAAATTCACTGCTGCTTTTACTCCAACTTTGCTCACTGCTGAATATGGATTAAAATTTTGAATTGACCTAGAAGGAAAGAAAGTATTAGTGACATGCTGTGAAATCAGATATGTCAGTTGAAAAGTAGGGTTTGGAAGACAATACTCTTATCCAGTGCGTTATAAATACAAAAAGGACCCCTGCTCACCATTAGGCCCTCCTTCCCACAGCCAGATTGCCAGGGCCAGCAGAGATCTTTCCTTCCAGGTACTTTGAGCATACTGTGGTTTTAATAGAGTAAATGAATCTATTTTACATCACAGTAAGAGCCACTCATTCCTACTTCCTAGAGTTCAAGCAGTGATGAAAGGAGAGTGATCTAGTAGGGAAACTACAGTGTGCTTTGGTTTGTTAAAAATATATTGTCTTTCTGGTAGCTAAAGATAGATAGAAGGCTTCCTTGAATGTCACAAGACAAGAGCCCAGTCCTCTACTGTGACACCAAAAATGGAGAAAACAGGGAAGCCTGGGATGTTACCAGTGAGATAGGGTTTACAACCCAGCACAGCAGGGATGGATGTTTGTTGAGTGCCCATGCCCATCTGTTCTAGTGCCAGCAAGAAACTGTGACCTGGTTCTGAAGTGTCTCTGGTGACCAGAAATGTATTTTATATATATTTCCCTTAAAATATTGACATGTATAACTGTAAGTACTTTTCATCTGTCTGAATTGCATCAAAGGTTTAAGGCCATATTTTTGGGGGGAAAAAGGAAGTTTAAATATATCAGTTGTAAAAATATCCCTTCGAGTCCATTCAGCAAGCTTACCTATCCTCTCCTTCCCACTTGGTATAAATCATATCCATGCATAAAACCTAGCTTGACTAACTGGCAGGTACTTGAGGTTGTGCAGTGCTTGTTTCAACAAAGCAAAGCTGTGCTGTCAAAAAAATACCTTACAATATCCATTTCCAGGTTTTCCCAGGTTGTATCACCTGATTCCAGATGGAGAAATAACCTGTATTAAGATCAGCCGTACTGATCCCCATGAAAATCTGGCCATCAGGATTGTGGGAGGCAGTGAGACCCCTTTGGTTCACATTATTATACAGCATATTTATCGAGATGGGGTAATTGCCAGAGATGGAAGATTACTGCCTGGAGACATGATACTAAAGGTAAAGTACTGTGGAGGTACGAGATAAAAATATTGTGATGAAGAATAAGATGCTTTAAGTTGATCATGACGAGATTTGCAATGTTGCATGCAGAAAGACATTCTAAAGTTCAGAGCACAAGCTAATTAAGGATCTATGATTTCCTAGCTTTTGCTGACCCCAGTGTAGCCGAGGACACTTGGGGCATGCCAAGGTTGTGCCATGCCTTCTGCTTGTGGCCAGACAGACTTGGCCAAAGGGATTTCCCAGGATCACAATGTGGGCATACTTCACTCTAGTAGTGAATAAAAATACTTCTGTATGGTGGCTCCCGGCAGCAACTGGAAAAGTATCCACCACACAGAAATCCATGTGTTTCAGGGAGCCTTTTAGTCCTGGTGCCAGCACCGAGCAGAAGAATTAATGGCACCGCTAAGACAAAGCTGTTCCTGCAAGGCACATCCAAACTGCACAATGAAGCTGTGACTGTAGCATGGATGGGCCCAGCCTAGCTCTTCCCAGCCATGTCTGACTTCCCAGGATTTATAAAGCTTTCCTGTGAATTTCAGCCCCATCCTGGAGTACCTCATGCTGTTTGTGGTACCCAAGGTAGCAACTTAAACCTACTTGAGCTGTGTCTCTTTGGGTGCAGTTGTCCCCACCAGACTGCAGCAGAACAACCCCGTTGTGCCCTCACAGGCAATCTGCAAAAGCAAACACCAGCCAAATGCTTTTGTCCATGCTGGGGAGTATTTCTCTTACATTTTGGAGATGTTTCTTAATACTTAAATGGTTCAACCTGTGCAATGTAAAGCTACATGGAAATAACTTGTCTGACTCAGGATTTCTAGCCAGTGATGAAATACAATCTTGCAACTGGTTTTCATTTAGCAATATAAAGTGCAATGCCTAGTCACTCTTTCACATATGAGCATGATGGGATTGACTGGAAACTCTTTTTTCCTCTTTCTTTTCCTCAGCTAAATTTAAAAAGTGGTAATTATACAGTTTTAGTGTCATCCAAATTAAATCTTACCTGGAAAACACTGAGAAAAAAATGAAAGTCTGATTCTCTGGTGTGGTAAATCAGCATAATTGTTAGTAAATATCCAGGGCATTTAAACTTCTACTTGAGGCTCTTTCCTTCTTTGTAATTAAGATTCATAAGTGAAAATAATTTTTTTTTACTGTACCTAGAACAGCTGGGAGATAAAGAAGAAAAGACACAGCAGGAAAACAGTGGGAGTAAAACGAAAAGCTGGCAAGGCAATTTGAAATCAGAAGCCTGTGGAATAAAACTAAGATACATGAAAGGATATTGAAGCTTGGGAAAGAGCAATAAGAAAGATAAAAACTAACATGTATGTCTGGAGACTATCAGGGAGAAAGGGGAACAAAAAGGACAAAAGCTGTCTGTGCAGTGCATCCTTTCCTTGGAGGGAAGATTGTTCTGCACTGCGAGAACATTTGGCCTCCTGTGTGACACAGTTTGAAATAGCACATGTCACTTCATATGAAGACATCTGTGTATATAGATCTGCCCTCCTCAGTGCCGGGGCAGAATAGACCATCTTTCAGCTGCTGATTTACACTTCTCTCTTCCAGGTAAATGGCATGGACATCAAAAATGTGCCTCACAACTATGCCCTGTCAATCCTGAAGCAACCTTGCCACGTGCTCCGACTGACGGTGCTCCGAGAGCAGAGGTACCGATGCCGAAACAGCGGACTTTCCCTTGATGCTCACTGCATTAGGGATGACAGCTTCCATGTTGTGCTAAACAAGAGCAGCCCAGATGAGCAGCTGGGAATAAAGCTGGTCCGCAAGGCCGACGAGCCAGGGGTATTTATCTTCAACTTATTGGAAGGTGGCATGGCTGCCCGTGATGGACAGCTGCAGGAGAACGACCGGGTGCTGGCCATCAATGGACACGACCATCGCTACGGCAGCCCAGAGAGTGCAGCCCAGCTGATTCAGGTTAGTCACTCCCACTTTAACCACGAGGTCTGAACTGTTCAAAAACTAAGAAGTATTTTTTCACCATCCATTGCAAAGCAGGGGTCTCTGTATTTGGAAGAGGAGTCTGATTTTGGAGTCACGGTCAGGTGGGAAGTTAATCCTCTGAGAGCTCCTTGGCTTTACTGTGAGGATGAGTGTGAACGTGGGCATGGACTCTCACAGAGGTGCCTGCTACCGTCAGGTTTTGGAATGTGAAGATCAATGCAAACATCTATATACTCTGATCATCACTGGAGTGATGCCAGCTGCCAGAAGGCATGCCAGCCTGCACCCTGGCAGCACGGGTTCCAGCAGAATCTGGCTCCTCGGGCTCAGAAGGTATCACAGTGCTCTCTGGTTCAGCCTTGGAGCAAACCAGAGTAGCCTAAGGCAGTGGATGGCATGTTTCATTATGATCACCCTCCCAGACTCAGTGATTTCCCATGGATGTGGTTTACAACTGAAGGTAGTCCACACCTTATAGATATTTCTTGCCTAAATCCAATATATGGAAATCCAGAAGTTTTAGAAAAATGGATCTGTAGCTGTAGTTTTTATTAATCTCTCTTCAGACTCATGTGGAGTACTAAATGGGTGCTAACACAGAACTGCCAAATGAAAAAAAAAACCACATGCCTTTCTCAGCTACAAAATTGGTCAGCTTCTGCCTAATTTTCCTCTCACAACCAATTTGGGTTTTTTGTTTACAGACTATGTTTTTAGAAAACTTCAACATAAAAAGCAAAGCCAAGACTCTTTTGTTGCTTTTATCCTGTATTTATAGCCGTTATTATACTTGTGCAATTTTGAATTTCATTTGGAGGCATGTAGAATGTTCCCATATCGAAGGATTTCATGGGCTTCAGTAATAAGATGTCAAATGAGGCCAGCTGCTTCTTTCTGACAGGTATAATCAGGGTAATATCAGTCAAACTGAAACAAACAAGTTAAATCCATGCATTTTGTAGAAAGGATTTCTCGGTTGGTTGGTTGGTTGTAGTTAGATTAGTTGGATAATAGATTGTAGCTAGATACAAACTACATAGATTTGTAGTTAGATAAGTTGGTTGTAGCCAGCTTTTATTGTGAAGTTTATAACATAGGTGAAGAAAATGTCATCCCCTTACATAATGCCAGTTTTTGAAATTCTGGTCCAGCATCTTTCTGGATTACCTTATGTAGCTCACTAACTGGGAACAGAAGGCAGAAGGGGGACGGTTTAAATTCTCTAAGAGCAACAAGTCTGGAATGAAAAATTTTCTAAAAGAACTATTATTCTTGGAAAAGTTCTTTATAGCTACAAAACAAGGCATCAGTGCTTTATAAGCAAAAAACACATGAGATGAAGTGGAAAAAATTACTAACACGAGTATTCGCATACAAGCATTTAAAAGTGCAACTAAAGCCCTTATTGGTCTCCAAAAAGTGGATGTTATTTATAATAATGCTTGAAATGCACACCAGTCCCTGGGAATTTAAACAAGTCCATCAAAGGGGGAAACTCAGGTTTCCAAACATCCAGGATTACATTGTGTTGATGTGAGCTCTATGAATCATGTTTGTCTAATGCAAAATTCCTGGAACCTGTGTCTTTTTTGTTATGTTTTTCATCCATTATTATTTGCCTTTCCTGTTTCCATGTCATGCCAGAGAAAAACCTTTATACTGAAGCCACAAGTGTTTTACATTTGTTTCTTACACGGAGGGCTATTTCACTGTGTCCTCTGATTTCTCAACATCATCCTTCCTGCCTGTTGAGAGCTCGGCATGTCACTTGCAATGCACTGAGGCCTTCTAATTTTTGGTGGTGAAAACTACAAATATACCATCAGTTCCTTTAAAAACAGAACTTTCATTAAAAGGTCCAGTGAATTCTTATACCAAGCACAGCTGGAAGACTGTCAGATTTCCATGTAATCTGATTATTTTTGACTTTTAAATAATGAATAATGGAGACAAATCTGATTCTTGAGGCCTGTAGAAACTATACACTAGCATATGTGAAGCAGTTGCTAATCAGTAGATTAGATGTCTGGCTGTTTATAAGGTCTAAGCTCTGTCACAAGAACTGAAATGAAGAAAATGTCTAAGTGCTAATTAGAAACATGCACACATCATAACACTTGGGAATTTGCTGCCTCCTGTTTGTCACATTATCTTAAGCCATGGCCTTGTGTCAGAAGTGGCACTTTTAATCTAAATAATGAGACATTCCACATCTGTTTTCCATGAGACTGACAAGAAAAGGAGCAAGGTAACAGATATGGGGTGCTCATGTGCGCATATCAAGCTACATGGGTTGAGTCAGACTTTACTGACCCTGGATGTTCAACCTCCTCCTCACCTCCTTCCTCCACAATAGTTTGGAGCAGCTGCTAGGAACAGGTGAGCAGCTCTTCTCAACCACTGCCTCTGACAAGCAGGTTGTGATGTGGATCATATCTGTGCTCCATCATCCCTGTGAGAGATGGGGCAGATTCTCCCAGGAGCAGCCCTGCTGCCTCTTTCTAAAATGTACTTACCTACTAGGTGCTCAGAAGTTGCCACTGTAACTCTGCCTTCCTGCTCTATTTGCCTTGGCTGTAACAGATTTTAATTCTAGTTGATTGTTTCAGCTCTTACTTGCACTTGGTATCAAGGCTAACCTCCTTTCTTTAATTTTCACTTCAGCATAAAATACAGAGAAAGAATTGTGGGAAAAGGCACTGGTAAGAGAGAGGGAGAGATCAGAATGAATCAGCTATAAATAATCTGATCAGTAGAAACATTAATGGGTTTTCGTATGTAAATACAAAAGCTGCTCTTGTTGTTTGGATAACTTTCTAAACCACTCTAACTTCTGAGAAACTACTCAGATTGACTGGCCTGTAGACAAATGTGCCATTGCAACAGACTCTTGTTGAACTTTTGCTAGTTGTTCTATGAGAATTAATCATGTTTTACAACCTTTCTTTAAATAACCAGCTTTGAGGCTTACCATGTGGCAGCAGATGAATTTTAAAAAGAAGTTGTGTTAAGTTGAAACCGTTCATTTTAGAGAAAACTGTATTTTCATAGGGCCACATGCCCTTGGGAGGTTTAATCTTATATTGTTCAGTTTCACCTCAGTCATATTACAAACTAGGGACAAAGGTGGTTTCCTTTCTCCCAACATACAGAATTCTGCTTTTGGGTACCAGTTGAGTCCAGAGCCCATGAATTAATATTCAATAAAACCATATCTGTTAAAAATGCCTAGAAAGTTATTTTGAAATATGTGTATATGCACCAAATTATATATTATGAATCTAAAGTCTTGAGTAAAAAAAACAGCATCTCCCAAGATATTGGGAAAGTCACACAGATGTGCGCATTTTTTACTTCACTGAAAATAGCGTGGCTTGAACATGTATATTTCAAGCTTGAAGCTGGAGGTTTAGGAGAGGTAGGTTGCTTCTTCTTAACTAAAATTTTTGCAAAGCTTTTTTTAACTCTCAGCTGCAGCTATTGAATTCAGCTCCACAAAGGGCAAACCAAGCTATAAAAACAAAATTCCCAGAAGCTTCCTCTGGCTTCTGTTAATTGTCTGTGGGAGATTTGATTTCAGTAGCGCAACTGGATCCGGGTTTGGTTTTCAGCTGCGTTTTCAATGCCAGCTTTCCTTGGAGCTTCTCCCCAGCGAGCAGGGCACATCACCGTGCCAGCAAGTGAGCCATGACGTCTGCTGCCCCCGGAGGCTTCGGTACCAAGCATTGCAACTGCAGCCCCAGGGGCATCAGGCCTCCAGATGTGTTTGTGGGGGGCTTCACACTAGATACTGAGCAGTTCCTCCGGTATAACGTGAGAGCAAGCGGGCAGGAGTCCCTCTGCAGATTGGTCATTAAGAGCCCCTCCTTCCTGGCACAACAGCAAGGCCTTTAGCCTAGAGAGGAGATTCAAGTATTAATTTTTACATTTTCTGAGTATGCTTCCATAGCACTGAGGTTATTTCTACACTATTCTTCATTTCAGTTCAGTATATTGGTTTATGGTGGGCAGCTATGATTTAGCCAGGTAAACCACACTCCCTCTCAGCTTTATTTTTGTGTCACTGTTGTCTTGAACAGATTCATGTGAGCCTCACTGAGGGGCAAATGAAGCCATTTGCTTCTAGGGAAACAGTGCTAATTCAGAAAGAAACCCCACCTGTACACAGAATTAACACTAATATCAGGCACACACAAAGAACCCCCCAAAAATAACAAGCAAACATTACCCCAGTAGAAGGTAATTGCAGCATCTCTCAGGCACACAAGTATTCTGACTGCATTGTGAAAAAAGGCCTAGAAGTTCTATGAGCTTGGGTTATTTGCTTTTGAAGCTGCCCTTCCTAGAGTGAGAGTTTGAGCTGCTTTCCTTTCCTAAACTCCATTGCCCTGTCTGCTTATGCACACCCTCTTTCTCTGTACTCTGCTACAATAGGATTTTTTTTCACAAAATAAAATCCCTTTCCTCCCTTTCTTTAAGCTTCCTTACATATGTTGTGCCCATTGCATGCAGGTGGACTTAATTACATTGCTTATTCCCCAATTTCACTGGGCAAGGCATAAGCACATCCCTGGTTTCAGGGTTAATTGGATCTTTTTTAGCTTTCCCATCCAGTGGGCAGCAATAGCTCTGGTTGTCTGTCTGTCTGTCTCTCTACCATGGCAGGCAAATTGCTGCTTTGCAGTGGTATACACAGGTATAGGTGAGAGCTGATCAGCATTCACTGTGGTGGATTGCTGCTTCCAGCCAAATTTGGGGCAGTTAGAAAGCATTTTTTAGAGTTAACACCAAATTTTCAAGAGAAATATTAAGTAGCTGGCAGTAAACTTTTATGAACTTCATTGACCTGAACTGATGCATCTGCTTTATGTCATAGCAACCTCATAAATGGGAAATCCAACCAACATTCAAGTGGTTCCCACATTGCACAGACACTCTGGGGCTGAGGTGCAGGGGTTTGTTGCACTGGGTCCATGAGATTCACACTGTGCCTCCTCCCACAGGCCAGCGAGAAGCAGGTCCACTTTGTGGTGTCACGGCAGACCAGGCAGCAGACCCCAGACCTCTTGCAGGAGACCGGCTGGAGTTACAGTGCTGGCAGCTCTTCTCCCGCCGAGAGAAACAACCCCGGCAAGGTGAGGGCACTCGTGTGGTTTCTCTACCATTGCCATCCATGGGACAGGGGAATGGGAGGGCAGCTAGTGTTTCAGGTCTAAGGAGGTTAACTCTGGCTTCTGTGGCCAGAAAAGCATGTCTTACTTGGTGATGGAAACACAAAAGCTGTGCTGCTCATTATTTATCCACTGGTTCTGCCCTGACTTTGCCTGGCGTGGGGAGGGAAAGAGAGGGCAATGGGCAGTGGTGGGGCAGGTGCTGATGTGCACACAGTATCCTGCCCACGGCCACAGATCTGACCAGCAGTGTGAACCAGCAAGGGACAATGAGCTACAACAAAAAGAAAATTTTTTCTAAAGCTTCTCCATCTGTAGCATAGTCTTCAGACAAAAAGCTTTCACATGCTGGCCTGAAAGATTCCCGTAAGCTACTTAAAAATTATGGTCATTATTGGGATGTTATTCATTTGTTAAAATGCCCATGCCCTGACCCAGCTGGCAGTTTGGCAGCAGATGGCAGCTCTGGTCTCCCTGGCTGCTGGGAGCATGAGGACTTTCTGTGGAGCTTTAGACCCAAAGCATGTTAGTTCTGCCCTGGCGGTACCTGGAACTTGCATGGCGGGGGTCTGCAAGGGCTGCCAGTGTGCAGCACGGCTGGACCCAACCCAGCACAGAGCAGCCACCTCACCCAAGTAAGGCTGTGGTTACCAAACTGTCCCCCAGCTGCCCCTCTGTGCCTGCTCAGAGAGCGTGTTTAGTGCATCTAGACTCGCAGTATGCTCTTTGCATAAAGCAGAGAGATGCTGATGCTCAAACATACGAGGTTTTAAGTAGGAACAAACACAGCTAGGGTTTTGAAAATGTGTTTTCTGATCTTACTCAGTGATATTCTTTCTACTTTAGAGCAAGGCATGTCTTTGCAGGAGGAGCTGAATTTATTTCACTAAATTTGAAGTCACATGTCTGGTTAATTTACATTAATCACCCTGAGTGTCACCACTTACACAAACCCATGCAAGCCTGACCCTAACCACTGGTGCCAGGGATGTATCAGGGAGGTGTGCAGGCAGGGCTTAAGTTCATCCTGTTTGATGGATAGGCAGTTGTGTCCTTAAAGGGACCTCTGGACCAAATATCAGGCACACAGCTGTCAGCCAGGAGGCAAGTCTAGTTCTGGATATTATAAATGTTAAAATATACCCATTTTTGAAGGTCTTTTAAAACTACATTATTCAGTGGTTTTGTGTGTTAAAAATACTAGTATATATTTACCTATTTTTAGTTTTCCACAAAGTCACAATCACAGCTCTTGCTATGAGGTGGGATCAGATTAGCAGGAGTTAAAGCAGGAAGAAGTCAGCATTCAGTAGCTAGTAGCAAGTAGCAAGTAGTGCCCACCTAATCATGCATCTGCAAGGCATTGCTTTATAATGAAGCAATTATTTCCTTAGGAAGATACGTGTAGGACAGAATTAGCTTGTGCTGCTACTGTATGCTTCCTAGGGAAGATCCAAGCACCTGCTTAGTCTACCATGTTGGTCTTAGTAATTAATTGATACCACGTGAGATTATTTGGGAGCAGGACTTGTCTCTCTCTGCCCTGAGATCCTCCTTTTCTCTTCCTGTACTAAGAGGTATTGGATGGGAGCTCTTGGTAAGTCCAACAATATTTTGGGTAGCTGTGAGATAGAAGGCGCAATGTTGGCTTTGTAACAGTCCTTTAAAGACTAAAGAGTAAGTGCTATAGATGTGAATGAATCATCTTCTGCTGGATAGGCCACAGATTTTAGGGGGATTTTCACAGGAGATGAGTACTGCCTATGCACATGAGTAGGTGTACTGCTGTCGGCAGTGCCACCATTTGGGCACTTTCCAGGGAAGATCATAGCCAAAAAAAAAGAAAATTCTGAACTGTTCCTACCTTCCTTTAGCTTTGTCTGTATGTAGTAGAGGGCTTCTATCAGAGAAAATGGTCTGGCAATACATCAGGAGTTCAGTACAGCTAGTAGACACAACGAGCTTCAGGCACTGTAGACATTTGCTCTGATACAAACATTACTGGAGTTGCCCTTTTATAGGGCATGACTGTGACAGTTTAAATATTTCATGATATTTTGCTGAAGGCTTAACTGAACATAATTTGCAATTCAAGATCTTTAAACTGGCTTTGAAAGATTAAAAAATTATTATTTACTTTAAATAGGCATTAGTGCAGGAGTAATGCTTGCAAGCCTAGGGCCTGTACAGTGTCCTAATACAGCGCATGCTCCTGCCCAAAATCAAGGTAATGCTTGTTGGCTGGACTTCACTCTCAGGGGAGTCTCCTATCAGTGTGTTTGATGAGTCTGCTACCCACTGCCATCAGTGGGATTGCCTTACTATGTGTGATTAATAGAGGATTGCTAGCTGCCTTGAATTCTGGTTAATTTTAAGGTGTTTTTTGTCCCCTGAGCTTACTGTAGAAGGTGATATTAGACGGTCAGGAATGCTCTCTTTGAGGGAAACTGCTCTTGCTGTAGAGCATGTATGCATACATGAGCTGAAATCTGCTCCCAACCCTTGTCTGTATTCAGCATCAAGAATAAACTCGAGCTTCCAGCAGCTGTCTGGCTTGTACAATGGCTCAGGAACCGCTTTGGGCCAAGCTGTTGTCCTCAGGACAGCCAACCTCTATCTGCACAGCATGAGGAGGTGCCTCTCTTTCAGGCCAGTGGTAACCAGCCAGCTTGCCCACAAGGCTCTGGATAGAGGAGAATGATCTCTTGTGATGATGATGTGAAGGGTGTCCTTTTCTGGTGGCCATGCCACGTGTATGGTGTGCCAAGAGATTGGTCCTGCCCAGGGTCTCATGGATCTGTTTTCCTCTGTACAGAGACTGGGGAAGCACAGCCCAAACTGTTCTGGCTGCTGCCTGGATTCAGAAAAGAGATGTCACAAACACTTTCTCGTGCAGCTGAGGTTGCGAAGCCAGGCTGTAACACATAAACAGGCCTGATTCAATTCCTTTGAAGTCAGTGGGAGCTTTGCCATTAATTAAATAGCACTTGTTTTTAATTGAAATTGTTTTCTTCTTTCAAATTAATTGCCTAATATTCAAAGCGAAGAAAATGTTGCTGGAACAGGCAATGTTTCCTGACCATATGAGCAGGTTAACCTTCAGGTGAAGTACATTTTCCAAACAGATGCAGCGATGTTTTTTGCCTGCAAGACACGTGTCATTGCTTTGATGTTGTGATAATCAGCTGTAAATATTTATTTTCCAGTAAATATACAGAAAAGCAGGAAAAAAATAAAAAAAGGAGGAGATGAACTGTTATGTTTTTCTTCTCCTGACCTCCAAGGTCACTTCAAAATGACAGAGAAGGACAATTGTTTAGAAGAGAATGCACTGAAATGCAGTCACTGATAAACACTGCCTTTTAACTGGTTTACTTGCTATCGATTATACCTCCAAGAAAGTTCTACGTGTGTTTACTAAAAAAGGCTTTGCTTTCCTTTCATCACTGCCTTTGTCTCAGTCAAGTCACCCCAAATCCTTTCTGTCTGCAGCCATGTAAAAAATGACATGGGAAAGAGTATTTCAAAGGAAAACTGGTCCTTTGTGGTTCAGCATACAAGTACTGGTACTTCTATAATTCTTCACTGAAATGCAACACGACAATTTGTTCCCAAGCACTACTTTGAAATCTTTCTCTCTGTGCTGATTCTTCAAAAAACTGTGATAAACCAGCTCTAATGTTTTTGCTGTCTGAGACTGGATGTATGCTGCATAAGTAACAGGACTGCTCTCTCACTCAGAGCACAAATAGAATCCAAATTTCATATTTTGCTACAAAATTTCAGATTGTAATTTGTGAAAATTGGTAGTGCCCCTATCTCACATGTTTCAGTAAATGGCCTCTTCCAGATGGAAAGTTACTACTTCTCAAGGGAAAAAGGATATTTTTGCAAAACATAGATGAAACATTAAGTTTAATTTGCATAAAGATAGAACTATTATGTTTAAAATATTTACACTTTAAAGCTGAAGATGAAAGGTTAAAATTATCTTGATCAGAATGTAAAATTTATCTGGAACAGAACATTTTCTGAAGGTTTTAAAGTCTTCAGAAGTTGGTTTGTTTGCAAGCCATAAGCCAAATTATTCTGATATAGTGCCTGTGTTCTGCATGGACCTGCCTAGTCCTGGTCTAATATGTCCAAACATAATATGTTTATAATATAATATAATGTGCTGTCTGGTTTCCTCCCAGAGACTGAGAGAATTCCTCTTTCCACTGAGCATTTTGACTCTTTGTTTCTGGAGCTCTGTAGCAGCTACTGTTCATCTGCTCAAGCATGGAGAAAGCCTTTGCTGAAGATCCTTTTGCTAGAAGGTCCTGTGTTTTGTTGATAACATTGCATCAAATAAATCTTGATGTGGAGTTAGTTCCACCAAACATCCCTCAAAAAAAACCCACAAAGCAAAGACATAGTCTGCCCTACTCCCATAAAAATGTTCATGCCGTAATCTTCCTTTGTCCATCATTGTCACATAGGGAGACCTTGTGGATTCATCTGCTCCATTTTCCATGCTGCTGGCCCAGGAACCAATGTAAAATGTCTTTGTGAGATGTCAGGTTTCTAAGAAGAGATTAATGTGGCTTTAAATGAGTTTTATGGATTATTTTTGCATATTACAAATGTGAGGTCATATTTGTGAATAAGGGTCTTTTAAATCTGCATTTGAAATGTATTTAGAAATGTGCTATTATATATGAGCTTGGGGTGGATAATGCTCTTCCTGCAAGAGGGGCTGGGATTGTCAGGAGTTGATGTCAGGAGCACTGCTTGTGAAATTCTTTAAGAAAGCAAAGCAATTAACATTTAAATCCAGATTTTATTTGCATTTTGAACTCTTCTGTAAGAACTGAGTGCATGGTAAACATGACATTCAGTTCACAGGTTTTGTTAAAGCTTGCATTGCAGTGGTCCCCATCCTGAGCACAGCTGTGGGTTTGTTTCACCCTCACTGGTGCACTAGTTATTGCATGAGCAGCTGTGTGTATTTAACTTTTCCTGTTCAGGGGCAGAAATAGAAGGATGACTCTCCTGAAAAGAAGGATGACCTTTCAAGCATAAGCACTAAGAGCACCCTGGAAACTGCTGGCTCTTCACTGTAAATGCCCTTCTCTTTTCCTGAACAGAAACACTTACTCTTCAAGAGTATTTCCACCCATAACTTACAGAGAAACACAGATATCTGGAAGATCAAATGACATATGTCTCTTCTAATATGTCCCCAGTGATTAAATTCCTCAAACCCAAAAGGACTATTTCTCACTAACTATACAGATGATGCTCAGACTGCAAGCAGCAAGATAAGAAGCACAACCTGATAGTCAGAGAGATGATGACCGCTAGTGATATTATTATCAAGAACTTTTGTTTTTCTTTTAAAATCAAATTGCTTATTTACATTTCAAGGACCTGATTCTATTAGCCTTAGCACTAAAACAACTGGTTTTTGTGGGAGCAGTGCCTAACTTTAACTATTAAAGCACAATTATCTTGCTGGTAGCTCTGAATGCAGATGCTTAAGCCCCTGAGGGAGTCCTGCCTGCCATCAGGCCAGGTGGCTGGGAAGGGTTTGGTGTTATTTCCATGAATATTTATTTTGATAGAAAATGCCAAAGCTGCCCATGCAGTTTGTTGTTGCTATTTTCTCCATCACAGAGCACTCTTCACACCGTCACCTGTCATGAGAAGGTGGTGTCTGTCCGGAAAGATCACACAGAATCGCTGGGGATGACAGTGGCAGGTGGAGCATCTAACCGGGAATGGGATTTGCCTATCTATGTGATAAGTGTAGAACCCGGAGGAGTGATCAGCAGAGACAGCAGGATAAAAACAGGTAAAAAGATGAGATTTTGAAAGCCTACTTTAAATTGAGAGCTTCTTTTGAAAACTGAGGGATAGTGAAAGAGCTTCACATTTCTGAAGACGTCTTCAGCAATCCTATAGATTTTGGGATGTGTCGGATTAGAGGGTCTCAAGTCAGCTGCCAGAAAAGGGATAATATGCAGCAGTAATCATCTCTGTGAAGTAGGCTGTAGGAATATTCTGGTAGGAAAAAAAAGATAAATAGCTTTTCATAGGAAAATTAGCTTGAACCACCATCTCCTAAATCTTGATACATTCATTGTGAGACCTTAATGTGCTTTTTAAGTCATTTTTTGTGCTTACTTGTCATTGCATTCATAAATTTGAATGAAATATACAGGAGCAAAATCCCCATTATATATGAAGCCACATTAGTGCTTATGGCTCAACATCATGTCTGGAAACATTGGCTTCCTAACCCCATTTAGCTACTGATGTAACAATGATAAAGCTAATAGTCCCTTCTGCATGAATAAGCTTTTAGAGCAAGATGAGGAACATTTTTTATCAGTTGGTTTTGTGGGGATAGCTGGGCAGCAGAGGAAAGATGAAACACACAGGTTTCAGGATGTTGTATCTTCAAGAACTAAGTCCCTCAGTAGCCTGCATCCAGCAATGGCATAGCTCACTTACCCTTCATCCCCTATGTTCTCCTTCAGTTCAGTCACCTTCCAGTGCCTGGAAGCTGGAGGGAAAACCTGAGTTTGAGGGAAGTGAAGGCACCCAAAAAAGGGGGAGAATCGCTGCAACCCAGTCAGACCCCACAAGCCTGGGTCTCAGTGCCCAGCATTGACACACACTTCTTTGTGTCTGCTCAACAAAACTCATGTGAGAACAAGACAACAGGAGCAAAACAGCAGGTTTTCCCTTTCCCCCTGCTGGGAAATGACTGCCTCTCAGTGGGATACACTTTCCAGAAAAATATTCATCATAAGGCAGCATGGAAAACTCTGCCTAGTTAATTTGATAAAATTAGAAACAAATGAATATGTGATGTTATAATAGTGCCATAGGCCTCTGATTTAGAGCAGCTCTTAGGCTGTTGTCCTTCTCAGTGGAGGCACACCACAAGAAGAGGTTAATGTTCATAGTGCAGTGCCTGGACTGCCAGTGATACATCCCTGCTTGGAGAAGCATCCAGGCCAAGCACAGAGGGCACTCAGGAAAGCCTTGGCATGGGAGCCTGCTTTGAAGGGTAGCAGAGCACTTGGCACTATGGCTGCTTGCATGACATCAGTGAAGTCTTTATTGTTCTTCCTGTAGTAATTGAGGTCATCTTTGCATTCCTCTCTGTAGCTGATGTGCCTGTAGTATAAATAAGGTATACAGATAGATGGTTTAGCTTGCCCCCATTCAAACAGGCATTAATATGAAAATAATAACATGTTATTCCACAAAAAAAAACTAGGAAGAGCCAGTTGGACAGGCAGTCCTCAGCTAAGGAAGAACTGGGAGAAAAAACATCATTGAGTTGTTGGGTTTCAAGCTTAGGTTGAATACAAATGTTGTTAGCTGGAAGTGGACTCCAGAGACCTGGACCAGTACTAGGCACCGGTACCAAAGTTGTTGGTACAGCAAGACTCTAGCTGTTTGTTTAGCTCCAGATGTAGGACAGGATGTGAAAAGAAACCAGGACAAATCCTCTGTCCAGCCATACAAAGTTTCTGTGTACAGGAATCGAGACCCTTCCCTCATGCCTGTGGCATGTGTACTAGCATACTCTTCACAGCCTTGTTAAACAGCGGGATTAACAAAAAGCCTCATCCGGCAGCCAGTTCTGGCCATGGGTTTGACTCACTTGTTTGTGGAGGTGGGGAGGGGATCCTGGAAACACTTGCAGGGCTTTTTATCATCCATTTTATCGGTCTCAGGTGACATCCTCCTGAACGTGAATGGCATTGATCTGACGGGAGTTAGCCGGAGTGAGGCTGTCGCCCTGCTGAAGAACACCAACTCATCAGTGGTGCTCAAAGCCCTGGAGATGAGAGCATGTGAAGCCCAGGAGGAGCGGGGTCACCTACCACCCCCTGAGGAGACACAGGTGACCTCCGAGAGCAGCGAGTGGTCACCATCCTGGGTGATGTGGCTGGGGCTGCCACGGTAAGTCCACAGATTGCAACCTCTTGCTGAGGGGGAGTGGGAGGAAAGATTTGTATTTTCTGGCAATTCTTTCTTTTGGCTTGATTCATTGCACTGACATCTTAATTAAATCCAGGCTCTGTCACTGACTTGACTGTAAATACCTCCCTTTTGTTAATGGGTACGTGTACATGGCAAAATTGACATGCAGTTCCTCTTGCAAGGGAGGATAGGATACTGAATTGTTTCAATCTTGTAAACATGTCTGGCACTTAGGGAGTGAAAGGAAAATCTTGGAGGGATACAGGAGCTTGCTGAACTGGAGCTCAACCACCCTGCAGAAGGCAGAGATACCCCTTCTGCAACACTCAAGCTGCACAGCCTTTCTCCTTAGCCAAATCCAGCTGAATTGTTTGACTTTACCCAGATGTTGCAAAGTTTGTGCAGTTGGCCAGTATCTCCAAATCACCTCTTTTAACCCCACCCCCGCCTGAAAGAAGTCCATTTGTCATGCACAGGAAGCAGCTGTGTTGTCATTTCAGCAAGGGTAGTAAGAGCCACATCGCCTGTCTCTAAGCTCTCAGTGTGCATGGTGTAATACCTAGAGCTTCTGCGACATTCCAGAAAGTAAGAACGAGGAACACATTGGAAATCTGAATATGCAAAGCTGGGATCACAGAGCTGAAACTGATGCTCAGTTTTAAGGAAGGAAGAATTTATCTTTTAAGATCCCCTTGACTGTACTCCTAACTCTGGCAGCAGTTCAATGTCTCTCTTTTAAAGGAGGGCAGGAAAAAATGGTCTTCAGAGCAGGTGGGCTTTTCTCTAGGCACTGTTTCAGGACTCCTCTTCATTTCCTACTCTAGCATAACAGGTTTCCCTCTTTCTAGCTGGAGCCATTTTGAGCTCATTCACCTTGTAGCAAGGTCTGCTGTGAGGGCCAGATATTTTTCAGGGGTTGATCTGCTGCTGATGACTGTATAATGTGTTGAAGCACTGCGAGAGCAGAAGGCAGGCTGTGTGTCTGCCACCCACAGGCAAAATGTTCCTCCTCCAGTGGAGAGGACTACATCTTTATACCTGTGAAAGAAAAGCAGTAAAAAGAAAATGCAATTAATGGATGCTCTTTAACTTGCTATCCTAGGGAATGGTAAATTTTCCTCACTCAGTCTCTCTGAAGACAGGCAGGCCCAGGGAGATCCTCATTCCTGCTAACTTCTTCTGCACTCCTGAGCTTGACCAGCACCACAGTGAATGTACTAGAGCATGGGCAATGCTCTCAGTGAAGAGACAGCCACAGACTAGAGGTCTTATAGATGCTGCAATCTGCAGTGCTGAGTCTTGCCTTCTATCACCATCCATTGCTAGATGGACTGAAACAATCACACCCTGCCTATGTCACCTTCATTGGGCAGTGCTGAAAACCTGAACTGCCTGGTCATCATCTACTCACAGCTGCCTGAAGTTCTCACTACCATAGCAAGGTAGAGGACATGAAGGACTGAGCTCCATAGTACTGCAGGCTTGCACCCAGAGTTCACAGCAGCCAGTTCCGCTTAGCAGTTTGGCAATAAAATGGGTTTTCCCATTTTAGGAACAGTTTCTGAGCTCACTTTAGCCTTCCTCCTCTGAAGGCTGCATGTGTGAAGGCATTCCAACTCTTTTTGTCTGAAGGAAAATCAGCCCCAATGTCAGCAAGGCTGAAGACAAGAGTTCATTGTAACTCTATCCCCAGCTGTGAGGCCATGCACAGAGCACAGCATGGCCCTTCTCCTTCAAAGAGACATGGGGACATTGGTATGCTGAGTGGGGACACCGCTCTGAACATCAGAGCAGTGCCTGGGACAGGGACCAATGCACATCAGATGGGACAGTAACAAAGGTGCTCTGTTTTCTTATTAGTATCTGATTGGCTGAATGGGGGCACAGGAGGATCAGGTTTGGGCTTGCTCCCTAGGTATTAATAGACCCTTCAGTCTTCCCCAGCATAAGTGTGCTCACCCACTTAGCACTCTGCTTCTCCAGAGCCCATATGAGATGTCTGAAAGTCCGTCAACAAGTTCTCTCACAAAGATGTGTATCATGTTAACTCATTGTGCTCCAGGTTGAACATTAGCCTTTCTCTGGCTTTCAGTTTGCTCTTGGCAAGGATCTCACTAGATCCCAAGATATTGTCAGCAGTCTCATGACATTTTCCAGGCTATTAGAGAAAATTATACTCTGTCTAAATACACATCTGACAGGTCAATCTTGGAAACAGTGCCTGAAGTGCAGTTATGGGACAAAATGTTGAAGAATCTCCTACTTTAGTTAAAACTATTTACCTGAAGGACTGCTCCAAGACATGGAAGTAGAATGTTTGGTACAGCTAATGGAAAGGTAGAAATATGAAAATCATGATTGTGCAGGGTCATGAAAAGTACTTGGGAAGATGGGCAGGAAGTGGCACACCTATGTAAGGCAAACTGAACATAGAGATAAAGGCAGTAAAACTGTTAGGCCAGGAAAAGGCATGGTTTTAAAAAGAGGAGGCTGGATAGTAGATTATTGAAATTCTTGTGAGAAGGGAAAGATGTGGCTCAAGACAAGCCCTATCTGTTCACAGCAAGCAAGGTGGGGTGCTCAGAGGCAGCTTCATCTCACAACTTAGAGTGGGATGTTCAAGCTCAGGAAACTGAGAGGACCGTAGTATCTTTCCTTCTTTGTTCCAAATCCATGAAATTTTGAGGAAAATCCTGTGAATGGTAGCATAAAATGTGCTGAGTTGAACTAACACCACAGCATGTCTACAGATTTCTGTCCATGACCAATGAAGTAGAAAACAGGCTAATATTAATAATAGTTACGTGATTTACTCTAAATGCCTGTTTTTTCCATACCAGAAAATAACTTTTTCTTTCCTAGGGACTGCATGCATATTACAGAGATGGGCACAGACAAAAGACATAAATATTGAGACTTAGGAAATTATATAATTTTTCTGGATGATGTTGACAGAAGCAGAATCAGACAAGTTATCTGATCCCTTGCACTGGAACTCAAAGACTTGGAAAAGCCAGCTTGTTCATTAAACATATCTCACTTATATTTTGTCCTTTTCTTGAGAGATCTTAGAATTGAGTTTTCTCCCTTTTGTGTAGGTTAATAGTACATAAACAGCGCCTCTGTTCTTTCTGTAGTACAATCCAATATGTGGTGGTTATAAAATACGTGCACATGTGCATCTGACATCTGTCAAAACTTGGCCTGCACGCAAGCCGAGGGGCTGCGGGCTGGGCGGCGGGAGGAAACAGTGATGCACGGCCTTAAGCATTCTCGCCTAAAGACTTATTTCAGGGTAGCTAATTTAATTGTTTGTTGTTTAGGGAGACAGAACTCCTTTATTGGTAGAGGGACATGTTGTTGTGAAGCATGCACAAAGGAAATAATAGGGAACAGCTGGCAAAAAGCATTTCCCCAGCTCTGTGATGCTGCTTCTACCCTTGCTTGTTTTCCCACTCTACTCACATTCTCTTCCCTCAGCTAGTACTCTAGAATACTTTTTAGATCATCCTGTCATAACATTTACAAACATTAGTACTTCACACAAGTGCTTTTCTTCATCTGTAAAGCGAGATGAGAAGGAGACAAGGTGGCCAAAGTCATTTTGCAAACCTGGGGTAGAACAAGATGGAAAACATGAAATTAGGACAGAAACACTTCCAAAGTAACTCAGTCTGGGCTGTAGGATGCTGGTGGAAGCAATTCTCAAATTGTATTTACTTGGCTGCCATCTGTGTACTGTAATGCAGAGGGAGGAGGGAGTTATCCTTTCCATAGCTGTTATTCCTGAAATCCTCCTGCAGTTTGCTGGTTTTCATTCCTGGAGCATAAGGATACTTGTACTTTAAGAAAATCAGAAGGGAATTGTATATTTAACTACTTAAAAACAGGCACTTTTAAATTCTTCATGCATCAGTAACTCATGCTTAGCTGTAGTATTGCTTAGGATAGGACCCCGTGGGTAGATACTGTATATCCCCAAATCTTGTATCTGAGGCAGGTTCACACATAAATTATTTCTTATCCTCATCTTCTGGAGTATTTAGCAATAAAAGCAGAAGACTATGAGCTGCCCTTTTCCAAGGAGATGGGTCTCCTTAGACTGGTTGTTTAGTGGGTTACGGCAGTTTGACTGGGTCAAAACACCCAGACTGGGGCTTTGATTATCACAGAAATATAAGCTACTCAAACACACTAAGCCTCTTCCTATGATTGTATTTTTTCTCAGTGGTACTTTGTAGCTTGTCTTTATGATTAAACAGCCCTAAAAGAATGGAGTCCCTTTGGGCTGCTCTCTGCTTAGGCACTGAGCTGTTTGGAGCAAGCGGTACCTGCATTACATACAGCTCAGCTTTGCCTGCCAGAATCCTTTTCACAGTTGTGACAGTGGTGACAAACAGATGGATGATGCACTGCCATGCTTATACCTCTATCCCATAGGATGGAGGTAAGAAAATGTCAAGTTAAAGGCATAAACACATCCTAGACATTCCTATTCTTTCAAAAGTCAGTCTCTAGCCATGGTTGTTGTGATGGGTTGGACCTGCCTGCACCAACACCCACAGCAGGGTGAGTGAAAAGGGGAAGAGTGAGTAAATTCATTGGTCAAGACAGGGAAATCCCTCACTCATTATTGCTGTGGCCAAAACAGACTTGGCTTTCAGGACTGAAAACATTTAATTACCAATTTGGGTATTGGGAACCAAAGAAGACAAGCTTGTAAATGCTTGTGAAAAGGGAGTTTCCCAAACTGACCATCACACCAGCACCTCTTCTCCTGACTTCCATGTCTCCACTGCCTTCTTGTCCACAGGTTACACCTAATCCTTTTGGTGAGGCAAAAGGCAGCACAGGGGCCTGGAGTCACAACAGTGGTTGCTCTCTACTGTTCCTTGGTTTCCATGAATTTGCTCTGGCAGAGAGAACAATGCCAAAGCTATTATGCTGTGTCTATTTTACTTAAATTTATCATACATATTGACAGCAAATATATATTTATGCTTTCTGCACTGATGGAGATCATGCAACTAATAACCTCATAGACTGCATGTATAGAATGCACATAAGGCATGTTTGGCTTCACTGCCTTTTACCCTCATGTCTTTACCTGCTTGCCTACTATTTTTCTATGGCATTAGGTTTTAGCTGATTACCTTTCAATGTCAGGAATGTGCTCCTTAAGGCAGTGAGTGTAGCACTGGGCAGTAGAGACCTCTGCCCCAAAATCAACACTGAATTATAACAGTAATGTCTGAATCCTGGCACTGTTTGGTCATGACCTTGATAAGTACCATTAAACATAGAGGGTTTAAGTGATTTTGCACGTTGAAGAAGTCCACATATGGTAAAGTAATAATGCCTGGCTGCTGAGGAAGAAGCAAATGTCACCTGTTTCATACATTAGCAACCAGTGAATTCTTGTGCAAATATTACATACCTACCATCCTGGAAGCAGGTGAATATTTGTAGGCCCTGGGGAACTAATCTAGTATTACTGGTGTGAAAGACAGCAAATGCACTATATAAAACATAATTATAAAAACGCTAGGCATACCAGTCTTTAAGATAAAGGCTATTTATCCTCCTATAGAAGTGTCAAGTGCTTCTTAGAAACCTAAAGACTCTGAATAGCACTTGTAATAGTTGCTTGCTGTAGGTCAGCCTACATTTTAATATTTGGAGTAGCAAATATATTTTTAGTCATTCAGTAATTTCAGTCATTTCTGGGGACACCACTAATGCTAAGCTGGTCAAGTACTATGGGCAGAAATTTCTATCACTTACTCTCCAACAAATGGAATTAATTTGGTTAAAAAAATAAAAAACCAGAAATTAATGTACTCGGAGCATTAGGCAACATTTAGGTCTAACAACACTATACTTGTTTTCCCCTATTCCCCTGGTTTTGGAACCTAAGCTTTGATGAGATTAACATACAGTATCATAAAATACATTCAAAAGATAAATGGAGGGAGAAGCAGATTTCAGTCCTCTTACTACAGAATCTCATGTTAATCATTACAGTAAGGACAAGCTATCTTCTTGACAGCAGACTCAAAGCACTGAGTACTCCAAAGCACTGACTCACATGGCTAAGTTTCTCTCATCTTCAATGCTGTGACTTATCAGATTACTTAACAAGAAAAGCTTAGGATCTCTAATTCCACCAATACCTGTCTTTGTGTCATCTGTCATTTTTGTAGTTCATTCCATTTGCCTTAAAATTATTTGACTTTGGCATGCACCACAGTATTAAGTGCCTGAGCACTTTGACATAATCACATACAGGCTCACATCTGGAAGATAAACAAGTCATTGTGCTGTACAAGGTAGAAGAAATACAGCTTTTTGAATTGCTGATTTACAAACATTATATCCAGGCTCAAGTGCTTTTCTCCCTCATATCAATTAGATCACTTGAAAAGATTTCTGTCCTATAAAGAAAAAAACATATTTAATACTTAATCCCAAGACTATCTACTAATTTTACTTTTGGGATAACTCGTTATCTGGTTGTAACAGGAAAGCAATACTACAGAAACAGAAGTGTAGGTGCTTAATCCAGTGAAAATATGGCACTACTTTAACTCTTAAAAACACTCTATGGGTGCATGAAAAGGCAGATTTATTATTAATGGTTCATCAGAATCTAAAGTTAACTATAAGACGTTTAATTAAACTGGTTTATTTCAGGTATTTGTACAGCTGCAAAGAAATTGTATTACGAAGAAATACATCTGGAAGTCTTGGCTTCAGCATCGTAGGAGGTTATGAAGAACATACTGGGAACAAACCATTCTTTATCAAATCCATTGTTGGGGGAACACCAGCATATAATGATGGCAGAATTAGGTAATAATTCCTATCTAAAAAAAGTAGCATTTAAGTAAGTTTTTCTTCTGGTTAACTTGTAGGGGTTTTTAAAATACATGTTTTCATTAAGGTGTGGCAGGGATGGGGGTAGGACTCACTGATACAAAACTAACTCTGGGATATCTGCAAACAGGACATAAATATCCTGAAGTTTAACAGATCTGCCTTATAGCAGAATGTTTTCAGAAGTCTAGCAATCCACTAAGTATGTGAGTTAAAAGAAGAGTCAATTTACCTCTGGGGTGGTACAAAGCATGCCAGCACAGAGGTTATATCCAGTTCTAAACAGCCCAACCAATCGCCTTCCCCACAAACACCAATACACTTGAAGAGAGTAAATGCACAATCATGGCACAAACTTCCATCAATTAACAAGGCAAATACAGTTGTTCAGAACACAGATCATTCTAGTATCTAAAGAGGGCCTACAAAAAAGCTAGAAAGGGACTTTTTACAAGGGTATGTAGTGCTAGGACAAGGGACAATGGCTTTAAACTGAAAGTACGTTTAGACCAGAAAAAATAATTTACATTTTAATTAGAAAGAAATTATTTCATGTGAGACACTGGAACAAGTTTCCCAGAGAAGTTGTGGATGCCTCCTAGTTATTCAAGGACATGTTGGCTGAGGCTTTGAGCAACCTGGTCTAGTGGAAGGTGTCCCTACCCAGAGCCAAGGGGGTTGGAATCTTTGAAGTCCCTTCAACTGCAGCCCTTCTATGATTCTGTGATGATGAATGAACATCAGAAGAACAATACCATTTTTGCTTTCAAATATGTCTAATTAATTACAAATTTGTAAGAAACTCAAACAATTGAAGTATTTTCACCTGCTTTATTCCCTTATTCATGAACAGTAGTCAGCCAGAGAAGGAACCATAATACTCATTTCTACCCCTTCCCCCAGGTTAAGGATGTGCTTTGGCATTTGAAAACATTTAAGATAAGAAGTCACTTTGATTGTTGTCTTGAATTTGTTTTTTCAGGTGCGGTGACATCCTCCTCGCTGTCAATGGCAGGAACACATCAGGAATGATGCATGCCTGCTTGGCAAGGATGCTCAAAGAACTAAAAGGAAAAATTACTCTCACAATTGTGTCGTGGCCTGGCACATTTTTATAAAACAAGTCTTCATGGAGAGTATGACAAGTATCTTAACATGGGGAAAAAATTTAAAAAAGGAACATTAGTCTTGGCTTTTTTGGGGGTCAAGTATGTATTTATAAAGAAAAGGTTTGTGAAATTTCAACCTGCATGTCAAGAAAAGTCAAGTTTAGGCAAAGCAGTGACACCTATCAGAAAATCACTTGGAGTGATCCAAGCTACAGACTTAAGTCCTTCTTTCCCTGTGTTCTTAAGGATTTTTTGTTGTTTTTTTATACATATCTATATACCTATTTAATGCATTATAATAATAATGAAATTTAAGGAGCAACAGCTTCTGCGCACCCACTTTATTTTGATTTACAAAAAGAAAACCTCGAATAACTTATGGAAATATTTCTTGCAATTTTTCTAGTTGCAATAATCAGGTGAAGGTTTTTATCCAACACATTAATAGCACTTTGATTATGTGTACCTTTTCATGGTCAGCATGAAGCTGGTATTTTCAAGACTTTCAAGTACTGTTTGTTAGTCTGTAAAACTGTGAATGAAATTTCTAAAATAATTAAAAATAATTGTAACTGTGTACTTGTACAGACATTATTTTCATCCAAAACCAAATTACCTCGTTTCCCTGGTTTGTTCTGATGAATACTATTATTAATACTATTAAATCTGGGATTTTTATATAGAATATTACTTTTAAGGAAGTACACTGCACCCTGCTAATGCCATCAAATAAGTCTTTTGAATAGCAGTAAAATTTTTGTGGGATTGCCTTATCAATCACACTTGATACTGTTCTGCATGAAGTAAATCTAAAAATGATGGTGGTCTTATATGTCTCTTAAAATAGCCCTTTGTCTTTCTCTGCAAATTACTCATGTTCCACAGTCTTGTTTTTATCTCACAAGCTTGCAGTGGGAAGAGGATATGTTTGTTAATCTTTATCGTGTTAAGGGCAGCTGTTCCCCTAGAACAAAGACTAAAATGAACTGTCTCTTAAGCCACTGAAAAGCAGCAGGGATGCTTATCCAGCTTAATTCATCCTTATGCACCCACACAAACCAGACATAATTACCAAGTGTATCATCACCATGCTTGGTGTTCCATTCAACTAAGAACAATCAGCACCTTTCCCACTTTCCCTAGTTTTTTTTTGCTCCACATTATTACACAGCTTTTGAAGAGCCTGCAGTTCCTGTGTGTCCCTGTAGTAAAAGATGACCTTTCCAAATATGACTCCAAAAGCTTTGCTAAACCCACACTGTTCCAGATGTTGGGTATATAATAAAATGAATGCACACTGTTTCTAAAGTCAGTAAAAGAATGACCTTCCCATCGGCTTATGAAAAAAGGAGACAATTTAATACAAAGAATTTAAGCCCTACTTATATTGTAAGAGCATAAGCCTCTAGCTGTAAGATGTTTTTTCACTGTTTCTTAAAAGACAAAGTCAGTCCAAGAATCTTAACATGAAAAATTCGTTCTTTTATTTTCAAAAAAAACCAAAGTAACCTTTGATTTCAAACTAACAGAACAAGATTAAGAGCAAATTATTATAATTCCCAGAAAAATAACAAGATTTATAGTAATCTATTTCTGGCACTAATATATATGCAAGTAGGCAAAAATCACACAAGCCTATTCCACAGGGGCAGCTTCAGTGTTTTCCTGTTCAGGAGCAGGTTCACCACTGGCTTCTTTTCCTTCTTTGCTTCTTTTGGACTTCTTGTGTTTGTGCCTTCTGTGGCTATCCCCTTCTTCACTGTCATGACGACGTCTGCTGTTACTAATTAGAGAGAAAACATGCCTCAAACACTTGACACTTTAGGCCCTATTTAATTACAAATTACAAAAAAAACAGCTTCTGCATTCACATTTTAAAACTGGCATCTGATCCCAACTCAGTTTTTGGATGTCAGTGCACAACTGAATTTTTCCTGGAATGGAACATACATCTATCCATCCTGTACATTTTGTGGGGAAAATTGAATGATTTTTCACATTTGTAATCCATATTCTAATAGCAATACTTTTAGCAATGTCATGAACCTATTGGCATTCTTTAATAATTTGACATTCTTGTTGACCTCATTTTCTGGACTTAACTTTCATTTCTAACTTAAAATGGATCATGTAGAACAATTTCTATCAGGTGACTCTGAGGATTATTTTACGTACTGAGAATGACTGTTAAGTTGTTCTGTTCATGCTGCTGAATGTCAGCTTCATTCCACCTCTTTCTGACTCACCATTTTTACCCTTCTTTCCCCAGTGTCCTAGTTACTGTTCACATACCGACTGTCACATACATCACTCAATACAAGGTTACCCAGGGTCACTATTGCTTTTTGTCTGTTCACGTTTTATATGGCAGACTTGCTCCAAGTAGCACATTCAAGTGTTTACAGTCTTTCCACAAAACTCCTGTTTGTTTGGGGTTCTTTTAGAAGTCTACTTTTTTTTTTTTTTAAACTGGACAAGTCTTTCATATCCTATTAAAAAAGAGAAATCAAACCTTCGAGATGACTTGTGTCGACTCTCTTCTTTCTCTCTGTGTCTCCTGTCTCTGTGTCTGTCTTCTTTCTCTCTACTTGTCCTATGGCGGTCATAGCCCCTCTCTGCATAGTCTCTGTATCTGTAGCGTTCTTCATCACTGATTCAGAAAGAAGAGATTTTCAGGACAGTAAGACCAAGGAGTGTAACAATAACAAGCTAAATGACAGGAAAATCTTAATAATGCTTCTGGATGTCTACATGAGTTGCAGTGCTTAAAGGACAATAAAGTTCTTCATGTTATACACTAGACTTGTGCAGTTAATGCAATTTTGAAAGGAAATTGTTCTTTAAAAATGAAAGAAAAAAAGAACACAACAGTGAAACAACATTAAGTTTGTATAGGAGTTATCAAGCTGAACCTGTATCTAACTGGGAAGGAAATACAATCCTACATAAACTTCAGTAATGTTTTCAGATCAGTGCTTGAAACATCCAACACTTAGCAGCACACTATTTGACTATTATACAATTTGAGTAAATTAAAATTAGATTTTGGTACAGTTATCTATTTCCTTTCACCCACTTCAAGAAAAGGAAAAGCTAAGTACAAAGAGTAAAATATGCTAAATACGCTATTTTGGCTGCTTTTGAAATTAATTTTTCTTAGTGCTAGTCCTATCTCTACTTGCACTTCTCACTTGGATTGCCATGAAATGCTGCCCTGCCACAATATTGGTAAAAATCCCTAAATATCATGTTGGACAAGAATTCAAAGGCTTTACTTAAAAACATTTTTTTATATTTTGACTTGATGAAAAGGGCAGTTCTAAGAGTTTACTGAAATCTAAAAGAAAAAAAAAAGATGAGAACACTGTCCATTGTTAGCCAACACCAATCAAATAGTACATTAGCATAGCTCAAAAAGGCACGATCATTTAATCATTTCTCAACCAAGAAAATCCTACCCAGCAGCATTTAACAGTGAAACTTCAATACAAACAAACTTAGTGTAATTATTTATATATCACATTAAGTCTTCTCTACCCCTACTTTTGGAGATCCCTACCAAGTCTTAAAGAAAGGCACAGTCTAACAGTCTTCCTAAAGTTAAATCAGTAATAATTTAGATACTGTTGACCTAACAAAAGGCAAGTGTTTTTGTCTCTGCCAACATTCACCATGAAAGAAACTATCTTCCTGAAGTCCCTGCAGCAGCAGAACAGACCAGACACATTATAGAGAGAACAGCTCAACTCCTCATGTCCTGGAGCAGTGAGAACTGAGATCAAACCCATTTTATCTGCCACAACTTGGATCCTCTGGCCATTTCCCAAGTGAGGATATTACATTAATGATTATTACAGTTATGCATGAAAACTCAGAGTTAGAAGGGGGAACACCTGAAGCAACAGCACTAGTCTTTTTATGAAACCCTGTATGATTACATCATTAAGCAAATGTCAGAAATTAGTAATTTAAGGCACTGTGGAGAAGCATTAACTGCTCCATAGAAAATTCTGTTTTTCTAAGTGACACAAAAAATACTCACACATCAAAACCAGGAAAATTACAGCTACAAATACAGAACTCAAAATTATGATTTGCCACTGAGTGACACAACTTCACGGATTTAATAATGCATTTATAACCTCAGATCTAAGAGTAAGCTGATTGAATCCTGCAAAGCACATTTGTCATCAAATGGCACAAAAACTGAGGTTAGAAGGCATGAGTGGAGGTCACCAGGACCAAACCCCAGCTAAAGCAGGGCCATCAGTACCAGCTGACCAGTACCATGTCCAGACAGCTTCAGGGTATCTTCATGCATGGAGACTCCCCAGCCACTCTGTGCAACTGTATTTTCCTCCCATATCTGATATTGCTTCCCAAAACTAGTATTTTGATGATGAGTATCTAACTAAAAAGTTCAAATCTGAATATCTACCACTAACTTCTGATAAGTTTGCCATGGGAAATTAGATGGCTACTTGTAGACTTACGGTTTGGTTTCAAAAATGAGATCCAAAGTCCTTAATAGTAACTCACACTGCATTTGTTCTGTTACCCATTTATTTTAAAGCAGTCCAGAAAAGGTTAAAAATATTACTGATACTCCCTTTTAAACCTGATTTCGGCAAACTACTAAAGAACCATGACAGCTTGTAAGTGTGTCTGATGAAAATAAACAACCTCTCTAACTAAAGCAAAAAATCAGTTTGCAAGACCAGTGTGTTGGGAGCTTTCAGGAACACTCTAATGTTGCTCAGTGTTTTTGACCTTTATTGCACACCGATCATGGAGTCTCGTTCAGTTTGTTGACCACGGACACCAAATCCTGTCAAGCTGCAAGCCAGCCAGCCAGCCCCTCATCTGCTCTTCTGCACAAGATTACTAAATTCCGGGACCTTAGAAACACAGTTGCTGGTTTTTGTGTTTTTTTATTGTTTTGGGGTTTTTTGTTTGTTTATTTTTTTAATTTTTCAAATTGCTGAGGCATAACCACAAAGTAGTAACATATCAATCAAATTCCAATGTCTACATTGTCACAAAACAAAACAAAAAACCAACAAAAAACCTCAAGCAAACAATACAAAGTCTCAACCTTTGCAGAAGGGAAACAGCCCAAAAATAATGGCATCTTCTTAAGGAGGCAGAGTGAGATGCATTGTAAAAATGTATACTTTTCTCTGAGGATAGCAGAGTAAAAGCAGAACAGAATACAAAGACAGCTGAAAGTTCATTTTTAAACCACATTTTGGTTATAATAGAATAAGAATAATCCTATTTTCCTATAATTTTAAGAAATGCTGTAGCAAAAACACAGGCTATTCATCTGGAAAACAACTTCTAAAAGCATTGAAAGCCGTAATTTCTAAGCAGTAAAATGCTAAACCTGATGCTTTCTACAAACCCCACCAAGACCACTTGATCAAAGTTTAAACAAAGGGAATATAAATAAAAGCTATAAATCTGTGCAGTCTTTAAAATAGTTCACATTCTCTTCCCCAAAGCTCCATTCATTCTATTTTCATAAGTGCACAGAATTGAAAATAAACCTTCTTAAGAAATGTTGTATCTGCATGTTCTTTCTTAAGCCTCTCCCACCTCTTGATTCCCAAACCAACTTATCCTAGTTAAGGGCCTCCCATTTTCTTATACAGCCATGTGGCAACAGCTTTGCTACAGATGGTGGATAATTTAGTCACATAAAAAAGTCGAGGCCTGCTCTTCCCCCTCCTTTACAGATAACTCTGGCAGCAGCACAGAGATTTCTTGAGGCCTGGAAGCTATTAAGGTTCATTTCAAGCACCCTTGAATGACCAGGGCTCTTTCTGGCCTTCAATCAAGCTGTCTGAAAAACAGATGTTTAGATAGATTTTCAGCCTATCTGACTCTGGAATGAAGCACATGCCCACAGGAGAGAACATCACCACACCAGCACACATGGAAAATCCCCCAGCTTGCACCCAGTTTGGGTCTTCAGCTAACAATCATTATGCAAAAAATGTCATCTCTCAACCACAGTAACGTTGACTTTCAGCGCTCTCATTCCCTTCAGCTTAAAACCATTAGTAAAAACAATCTGTCTAATAGCTAACATACACATTCTGCAAAAATTTAAGCTTAACAGCAAACACTGAGAAAGTGTCAGCTATTTACTCCAAAAAGCTTAGTAGATAACAAGCAGGGGAAATTTAGAAAAATCTGGCTAACCAATAGACCTCTGTTCTATGGAGCCACAGCGAGCTCAACATCAAATGCTTTGTACTTGAGCACATGAACCACAGAACAGTTGCAGCTTCATTTTTAAAGAAACCAGAAAGCTGAATAAAGTTATCTGACATGATTTTCATCATCTACATCAAAATTAAAGAAAAGTTCTTGACCTTGAAATAATAGCTTTAAAAAAGAGAGGAAATGTTATTATCCAGCCATTTTTAGCAACCATATTAGCCATTTTAGCAGGTATTTAACACCATTAATTAAGGTCAAATGTTGCAACACGTTGCTCTTAATCCCGAATTGGCAACAAAAATTCATTTGGTACTTCTATATATTTTTCTGTAGGCTTTTTCCTAGACCTACTGATGTCAAAAAGAGATGGATATTTCAGACATTTTCAAGACTTAAATCACCCTTAACTTGTAAAGCACTATGACCAATTTGGATGTATACTATCTTTTTTTTCCTGCTTCTGTTTTACATGTAGAAATTTAGGAATTATCGTTTCCAAGAGAAAAGGGTGAAGGTGACGACCCAGCTCTTTAGAATATGCAGCAGAACACTAAACTTGAATGCTGAAGTACTCTGTACAACAGAGACAAGGATTTTAAGCAATTACAGCACATTTAGGACATTTCACTGACCTGTTGAACGCACTTGAAGACGGACTATGATCTCGGTCCCTTTCCCTGTCTCTGGTACGGTCTCGATCCCTGTCTCGGTCCCGGTCACGATCCCGATCTCGGGATCTCTCTCTCTCACGTTCCCTGTCCTTCTCTCTTCGTGCATAGTAATCCCACTGTTTGCTGGTGTCCAGAAGACTAGACCATGAGGGTGCAGAGCCTGCAGGGTGTGGAAAGGTGACTAAAGAAAGAGATGTAGTTATTAGAAAGAGCAAAATCAAATATCATATGGAAACTTATGCATGAAAACATTTGTCAGTTTCCTCCAATGATATTTTTTAATCTTCCCCTTTCACATTAGAGTTAATTCTAAGCAAACACTGCATATGATTACAAAAGCTTCTGGCACTCATTTAAATACTTCTTAAGAGGATGTACAAAACCAGGGTACATACCCCGAAGACTGTCTAAACACTTTTGGGGGGGAAAAAAAATAATTGGGCAAATACTTGCTCAAAGAATCTGATTCTATGCAGTCAAATGGCTTTATTTTGGGGGAACAACAAAACAAAAACAACCAGAAAACAAAAGTGTCTTTGAAACTCAGGTGCTCTGAAAATACAGTTCAGAAAATGGACGCTTCCAGCCTCGTATTTAAATGCTATTATTTTTATCTTTTGTACTTTAAAATCATTATATTTAAAATATAGTGTTAGCTATGAAGTTCTCACTCACTAATTTATATTGTAATGTGCTCTGTCATACTTTTCTGACTACAGAGGTAAAAGGAGCTTTAGAAATAAATTCACTCTGGGGAGAAGAAATAATGCTCCCACTTGTGCTCTGTACAATAACACTTATGAATGCTCAGCACAAACACTAATACCACTAAAATATAACAGTTTAAGAAAATGAAGCATAGTCTTAATCTAGAACTGACATGTTAAGGTGCTAAGAAGGAAGTCTTATCAGTGTCTCCCAATCTTTTTAGATAGCTAGAAACGAGGAGAAGGAACATGCTTCTCCACTGCTTTTTGCCAACTTCATTGTAATACAGAACTGCTACTTCCAATGCCCCAATTATTTTGTCCTGCCCTCCCTCGCCAGAAGTCCCGTGAACACATCCTGTAAAGGAAAAACAAGGGCTGAGTATTTAGCTGGAAACAGCACTCTCTAGTGGACTTACAGTACTGAGGACTTCTCCCTTTCTGCTTATCTGCCTTGCTAGCTTTCCTAACTTTCAATAAATCGTTTGTTTTGAGCTCCACTTCATCATCTATAATGCGAGAACAATATTTACTTGACTTCATGGTGTCACAAAGAGATTAACAGTACAATTAACATCAATACTCACTGAACAATGTAAAGTGTGTTACTGGTGCTGTATTTAATACTGTTGAGTTTTAAAACCAGTGGACTCTGCTGACAGCTATGTTCAGACTGCCTTGCCTGTAACGTCTGGAGTATGCCTGCCCCAGAAAGCTTTGGCAGAAGCTTAAGAGAGCAGTTTGCCAAGCTTCCAGAGCAGGAATACAAAAGATCTTTACAGCAGGCAGTGAAGCAGGAAAAAACACTTCATTGTTAAAATACATTTGCAATGAAAAGTATTATAATTCCTTAAAAAAGCATTTATACAAGTTTTTGCCTCTAATAAAATGCTTGACACTGTTTAACTTCAGGTCTACAAGTAAAATTGAGGGTTAACAGAAAAAATGTCCTAATACAATATTATGCTGTTCATTATACTGCCAAGACCTGAAATTCGTCGAAGGAAAGCAGCCAGAAATAGCAAAAAAACCCAGCTGGACTTAAAAGACTGCTAATTTCCTTGACTTGCCACTATGTCAACAATACACGTATGGTACATGAGACACTGGCTGCTAGCGTATTCTGATGTAAAGTTTAAACTTAAACTTAACTTTAAATGTGTACTACAAACCAGTTATTAATGGTAGTACAAACTTTTACATTAAATTTCTGATACTTCATCACATCTTGAGTAATTCTCATCAGACAGAAGTATTTCTCCCCAGTAACATGAGAAAAAACAGTAATTTGACACACTACACATTTTTATATCTTCATGTTCACCAAGAATTATTCACAATACACAAGACCCTTACTTTCTAGTATCAACTGGTGTTCCACTTTTATTTTTTTATTGAATGAAGGAATTTGTCATTTCTGTTATCTCTACATAGATTATTCCAATAATTTCTACAAGAAGGAAGACACTTCAAAAATTCAACTCTGATTTTATTTTTAAAACAGGAAGAGAGCTTTGAATAATTACTAGTTTTGGAGACATGAACCTTGTTTTGGAGATTGTTTAAAAACTTAAAGCTTCATGGCATAAGGCAAATTATTTAATGCTTGTTCCTTATGCCTCAAAAAATACTGACTCTCAAACTGTTTCTATAATGTTAAATGTCTTGCAAGTTCCTAAGATCTGAAGAACATTTAGAGCACAGACCAGAGAACTGCTTGAGGAAAAGCAAACAAGCATACGATAAAAGGCACTTCAGTGGCTGATCAAATGCAGCTCAAGCAAAGCCAAAGATAAGATGGCAAAGGTAGTGTGAATTGGGAAAGAATTTAAGTGCAAACTGACGAAACCATATTGATGTGGTGGAAGAGCACAAAAACAAAACAGACATTCTTGAAGTTGTAAGTCTAGATATTATTTTACTACATAACCTTCCTAAAGGGTTTGCAATGGGAAACCCAACAGACCACATGGGAAGAGACACCAAAACATGAGCTAAGGAATTTGAATAGGCACAAGAAGGGCTGGTAATCAACCTTAATCAAGACTGGTACTTTTTGCGATGTGTTCCATTTGCACATCTTCCCCAGCAATTTTGACAAAGCTAGGAAATGTACAGACTGTCAAAGAAGACAACAGGTTGGAGATTCAGCGCTATGATCCAAAGCAATTATTAAATAAATACACTTATTTAAATGACTGTAAATCCGTACCCTGCTGCACTGTGGAGCTCTCAATGTCTCCACGTTCTGATTCACAGAGGACTGTTAAACACTGACCAGTGATCACATTGCACAGCAGGGACTGTGAGAGTATGATGCTGACTAGGAAAACATCTTTCACTAAGAGATGAGCAATAGTGATAAAATGCCATGGAGTCTCTACAGATTCAAAAATCCCTGACACAGGCAGCTTTGAGACAGACAATTGTTTTGTGCAGCAAATACAAAAGCTTTTGCTGCAACAGGGATACCAGATATGTTGGAAACACAGTGGGAAGACAGGAGTGGACTCTGCTCCTTGATCTCCATAATATGTCTTAGTAAGACTGCTTTCCTTCTGACGCTCTGCATGGCTTTAGCTGTACATCTCAGCTTTTACCTTTTTGTTAAAACACAAATTACTGCTAAAAAAGAAGTCTGTGTAAAGCCAATGTTTATGAATTCTTTTGCAATAATTCTTAAAATCATAGCAAGCTTCCAATGCATGAAAGCAAACAATAACTGATGAGGATCCTTACAATGTCAACAAAGTACTGCTTATTACTCCATGAACTGCTACAACTTCAAGAAATTGCAAGCCATTACAAAATGTCATTTGTATATCCATGCTTAAGACTTTGGATCATTTGGGAAACAGATTTGCTGAATATCTGATCTGTGCTGAACATCACATCCTCAGAAACGGACAAAACTTTCCCTACAATTTCTCCTCTCACCAGCTAAAGTTCAAGGGAACAAGGAGCAAGGCAATAGAATTTAGCTGAAAGAAAAGGCACTAGGTATGAGGCTGGATGGCAGAGGTAGTGACTGGCAACATGCAAGGTCCTGCATCTGGGTGGGGCAGTCCTCAATGTCAGTACAAACTGGTGATGAACTGATTCAAAGCAAACCTGCAGAGAAGGGCTTGGGGATACTGGTGGGCAAAAATTAAATATGAGCCCACAGTGTGAGTCTGCAGCTCAGGAAGCCACTTGTATCCTGGCTGGATCAAAAGGAAGAGTGCCCAGCAGGTTGAGGGAGGTGGTTCTGTGTCTGCCCTTGTGAGACTACACCTGGAGTATTGCATCCAGCTCTTGGGACCCAGTACAACAAAGATATGTTAGAGCATGTCCAGAGGAGGGCCACAAAAAATGATCAGAGGGCTGGAACATCTCTCCTATGTTGTTTAGGTTGTTCACCCTGGAGAAGAGAAGGCTCTAGGCACACCTTATTGTGGCTTTTCAATACTGCAAAGGGACTTAGGAGAAAGATGGAGAGAGACTTTTTGCCAGAGCCTGTAGTAACAGGACAAGGGTCTGTGGTTTTACTCCGAGAAATGGTAGGTTTAGATTGGACATAAGGGAAAAATTCTTTATGATGATGGTGGTGGAGCACAGGTTGCCCAGAGAAGTTGTGGATGCCCCACCATTAGAAGTGTTCAAAGCCAGGATGGACAGGACTTAGAGCAAACTCATCTAGTGAAAGGTACTCTTGCTCATGGAAGGAAGGCTTGAAATAGATAATCTTTGATGATTCCCTCCAATCCAAATACTTTATCTTCTTATTTTCTCCTTCAGATCAAGAAGCAGAGCTGTGCTAGATAACAGTTCTAAACTCAGCATACATTCTGTGGATGCCCATTTGGTGGCACATGACAAAGCTTTTATTTTAGTTCACTCTTACTGCACTTTTACTGGAAAAAACATGCAATAGGATAGCTGAAGGTTATAGTGTCTTAGAAAAATGCTTTTTCAAGGGAGAGGCACATCATCAGGATTTCTGAATGATTTGTCTTAATAATTAAAATTCTGATGATATCTCAACAGTAATTGTTCTCCTACTTTTAAATTCTTGAAAAATTCTCCCTGACTTGCAGTCCATATTATGGTATATAATGCTTCAAAATCACAGTTCTGCAAAAGCAGCAGGAAAAGATATCTAGTATATAAATTAATAAGCAAAACAATAGTATTTACCAACAGTGATTATATTTGCAACAGCATGTATCTATTTACAACGGTCAGCAATGAGCTTTCATAATGAAATACTGATAGGACCTATTTAGTCTTCTAGCTAAAATCCTCATATATGTATCAAACAATCTGATCTCACTTATCAATTGATAATCAATCTGGTCAAAATTTCCAAAGCCAGCAAGCTTGCTTACTTACCACTGCCATATGAAAATGCACGAACAGAACGACCATCATAGCCAGAAGAATGTCCACTGTGGAAAATACACAAAAAACCAGTTTCAGGATATTAAAGATAAATGTTAAAATTCAGCTTTAGCAACAAAGCTACCTCCTGCAATAAACAGATACATTTATACATATTATATATATTATATACAATATATACAATCAGAAGCAGAACTCATTCACAGCAACTGTCAGTACAAAGTAATAAATATACTTTCATGCACATAATACATTAAGATAGGATAGGATTCTCAATTAAATCATATGAAGATTTTCTCAGAGATTTTCCATCATCCTCCTGTATCATGTCTTTTAACAGAATTTTCAATTTCAAAGGAACAGATCAGCGAGACCCAGAGGACTGACAAGGGCTTAAGTACCATCTTAAGTGAGTTCTGTATATGACCTACTTTTGGCCTCCAGCAAAATACAAATATTACTCAAAGCCTGTGCTAGCCAACCTTTTCCCTCCTTTTATATCTTTATATCTATATATATAAATATATGTATGCATATAAATACAAATACAAATGCATATAAAAAACTGTATTGAGAAAGTACAGTTAGGCCTGTTACAGCTGAACACTTAGAATAGAATAGAAATAACAATTTGGATTCTGTGGAACTCTGACACTTCTTATGGTTTATGAGGGCTTGAAACTGTGTTAAAATTTTTGTGTACATCTACAAAAAAGTATATGATAGCTGGAAAGTATACAGTTCACATAAATAAGCCTTCAAACTACTGAAGAATACTTTAACAATCAACCCCTTAGGTCTTGGCATTGATTTACCATCAAAACTCTAATTAATTTGATATTTTGATACTGTGTCATAACTAAACTAGGAAGTGGCCAAGTAGCATACTCAAAGAATATGTTGAGATGTGAGACTAGTAACATTTCTGTAAAGCTACTGCAAAAATCTGAAGCTGTCTCCCCTTTCCCAACTGCATATTCATAAAACACTGGGCAATGCAAGAGAGCTTATTTATTTATTTCAGTTACAGAATACTGATAGATTGTTTAGCAAGATTTTAAACAGATAATCACCTGTCTATTGTGGGTATGAGGGAAGGTGGAGGACCGCCAGGTGGTGGTGGAAAACCTGTAACAATAAATTAGGTAAAGAGGGGAGAAAGTAGAAATCTATCACCCATAAACACATAAAAGAACTAGGCTAAGCATATAATGGCAAACAAATTCCAGAGAGAACACAGAGAGAACAATCAAGAACTGTTTCCATGTAAATGGTGTTTTATTTTGTAAGACTAAGAACTACTTTTCAGCTTGAAAAAGGCAAAACATTAAACATGACTTATCAATGCTTCAAATTATAAACTTTATCATTCTTAAAAATATGGTGATATAGAAGCATGGGCAAATTCAAACAATACTTAATAAGCAACAGTCAAAACTATTCACTGCATAGCTGGGAAAAAATGATTTTAAAGAAGGAAATATACATCTGAGTATAGACGAATATAGAAAACGGGTTGATTAGGTCCACTAGTCAACAGCATTTTCACACAATTTCTCTTCTTCCTGGTATCAAAATAACTGAGCTTACATATACATACATAGAGTATACAAAATCCTTTATCTACATAATTGAAAAGAAGTTGGTAAGCTGCACATCAGTCAAGTTTTCATCTCTTAAATGTGGAAAAAAAATCTAAGTAAATTTACCTGGTGGTGGCACTGTTATTGGTATACCTAAAAAGACAACAAATATCAGTTATAGTAATAGTTTATTACCTGCAGATCTAAAACCAGATTGAGCTTTCACTACCTACAAGATCAAGAAGAAGGACAACATATTTTCTGTGTCCTCAGATCAAGATGTCACATTAATATTGATTGTTAAAATTTTATACAAGCCTTGAAATCTAGCTTTTTCTTTAAATTCCTATACTTTAAGATCTTACTTATTTAGAGGCAAAAATAGTGGCGAATGACTCTGGGTCTCAAGGTTTGAATTAAATTCATAATCCTAAAATGCTTAGTATACAGAAGGAAAGCAACATCCTATAGACTACATTTGCTTTATTTTACATTCCATGGCTGGATGGAAGGAAATGCAATTGGCCTCTGACCTTCAACAGCTTGGCACTGGAAACAGTAGGTCTGCATGAACAAAGTATTCAGGCAGCAGCAAGCAATACAGATGTCTGAGTCAGTGCTATGATACTGCAGCTCATCATTCAGTTGCTACATGGAGGGAAAAAGATTGTTTTGTTCTCTGTTTTCTTGTAACTATCTGAGAAAGGAGCATCCTTTAACAGAAATGTGCAATAATTACTCTAACCTGATTTTCAGATTTAGCTAAGCTATGAATCTAACTAAAAAGTTAGATTATTAAAAAGTTATGGATCTAAATAAAAGCTGACAAAATTGTTCCCAACTAAATTAGCTGACCTAATAAAATATACTGCCTCAACATATAAACCTATCTTACTGATTATGAAAGGAATGATTACAAGGTAAAAACAATTTGCATGCTTCAAAGGTTATCTTCTCATACTTTGCAAAGAACTAGCTTTACCTGAACTGAACACATAACACTGCTACATAATAAACTGGGCTAAAAACAATACTGGCAGAAAATAGACTTCACCAGGCATAAAGCGTTTTCAGTTTTCAACAGTTCTGCTTCCACTAAAAAGTATGTAAATTCAATCTGACAGTTTATGGCAAAACTTTGGGGAAGGAGAGAACAGAAAATTCTGGCAAGTGCTTTCTTCAGTGTTGACATAGCTGCATAAACATTCACAGAGAACAGTACTGGTCACTGCATGACAAAATTTATATATATCTCATTAGATCAACATTAAAATTAAGACTATTGTATGGCAGCAGCATTTTACTAAATCTAAGTATTTATAATGCCTAGAAATGCCAGCTGCTCCCAGACTGCCTTGACAGAAGGACAGAATGAAGGAATATGCAAGCAGATGAACAGTGATCAATATCAAAGTTCACTAATTGTGATTTCTCTGACATGAATTCCTAACAATATTAATCCTATAGGTTTAAACACATGATGAAATATAATTGAAATTTCTGTCTACTCCAGAACATTTAAAATCTGATCTCTTAGCTGAAATGTAAATCAGGAGACAGTGAACTCCAACAGCCAAATTTCTAAACTGCATGAGCCATTTTCTCTTCACCAGCACACAAGCTTTCCAAGCGACGGTTGGAATGTTGTTAACAACACTGGGTATCACACAATAAAATTTTTGACAGTGTAACATTTAAAAGACCAAACACTCCTGATGAAAATTCCTGAAAGAAAATCAAGATTAAGAACTCAAACTGTTGCACAGCCAAAATGTTTACCATTAATCTGTTTGGGTTAATTGTTCTAATTAAGAGCTCATTCATGAGCCTAAAACATAGAAAAAATATTTACAATATATAAATGTTAAGCATGTATCTATTATATACTAAGCAATGTTAAGAACTTAAGCTAGAAAAATACCAGAAGTTCTCTTAAAGTGATTTATTAGCTCCACCTTATACTAAAAAGGATTTCAATTGCTGCACTAAAACCAGTATATTGCTGGCACTGCACATGGCACCCAGCACTATCCAGAGAATTGCCTGGAAATCCATCAGCTAACTCCTCTTTACAAAAAGGAAAAATTTTGTATTAAACAATTAATATATTCCTCATTTACAAGAATGTTATCTAGTGCAGAATTAAAAGTAAAAATATCACCACAAGACCAAAAACCAAATGAAAAATTTCACTTAACAACCATTCCAACAAAATTAAGACAGACTGAATACAACTAATATCCAGAGACCAAATGTCCAAATAATTTTAATGAATTTGTTAATGCAGGGTATTACACCAAAAAACTACATAAGCAGTTTTCCCCACAAAAGCCTTTAAGAACTTTTCAAGAGTTATGATAAATGCTTATATAATTTTAAAACAGCCAATTTAAATAATTTAATTTAATTATAATTTTATAATATTTTATAATTTATATATAATTATTAAATAATTTAAGATAATTTAAATAAAGCTAATTTACTTGATGGTATCACAAAGGAAGAAAGATTCTACATGCCAAATTGACAAAAGATCTAAAAAGATCTAAAATGTTTTTCCTCACCTTCCTCACTAATACACAAATACCACACAAAACAAGACAAAAAAATAATAAGCTTCAGTTAATGGAAAATAAATAATTTCTCAACTCATCACTCCTTGGCCTTCTAAGTGTATGAAAATATACTTGTAGTGTCACCAGCCAATTACTACTTCTGAGAAAAAACAGTGAAATATTTTATCATTTCTTGCAGTGAAGAGACTACATTGTACCAGTTCAAGAAGGTGGCTTAGTGTAGACCTTGTCATGTCCCTACAACACTGTTGTGCTGCCATAAAGATACATCCAGCCGAAACCTAAATACTCAGACTTGCATATCTAAAGCAACCCAAATGTCATTAGTGCACCATTTTACCTAACACGCTCAAAATTGCCTTCAGAACATCGTATACCATCCTACTAGTCCAGAGCTGGTTCAAGTATTTACAGAAAATCAAGTATGTTTTACTAAAGGAAAGCAATGCCACACGTGCTCTGCTTAGGGAGTAAGGAATCAAACATGAACAACATAGCCAGAATTTAACAACATACTGTAAATTAGCTGAACTGTGTAACAGCCCTAAGGAATGTAATATAACTCAACTTGGTTCTCTTGCCACAGACTAAATTAGGTCAGATTCTCTGTATCAAAAGACAAAAAGTACACACTTAGGATACTGAGGCTGAGCAGTTACTTACCAAATCCTGGTATACATTGCAAAGTTATGCAACAAGTTCAGTATTTCAGGGAAATTTCTTTTTTCTTAAATCACATATACATGCTACATTTTTAACTACAGACTTAAACCAAAGTGCATAAACCAAATTTTAAAGCCTGGGTAACAAGCATACAAGTTTTGCTTTACATGAAAATTACTCCAACATAGCAATAAAGCTAGCAAATAAAAAATAGCACATATTTTGCTACAGCCAGTCACCTCCTAGGACTATTTGAGAATTTTCTACATTTGGTGCTTCGAATTGTTCCAGGACTTGTTCCTCAAAAAAGATTTGAATCACAAGAGTGAATGAATACAGAAAAGAAACCTAACTTCAAAGCAAGATCCTTTTTCAAAGGCGCTTTTGGAGGATGTTTTATATTTGGAATACTTAAATTTTCTGGCAAGTAGTCCCAGTTTAATATTGGATAAGTATAGTTTTTTTACTCCTCCTCCTCCTCTAGTGAACCTAGGAGGGATGGCAGAACCTATTTTTGGAACAGCTTTGATGATAAAGAGCTGGCAACAGCACAATTAAAACACAGGCCTGAGAAACTAAATCCACAGCTCTTAATCGTTATTTTCAAATCTACTCGAAGCACGAAAGGATGTTCCAGAAGTCTTTCTGAACAAGCCTGTGTCATAAACCTGCCTGTAAACCATGAGACTAAAGCCAAACCTGCTGGTTTGATCTGCAACACATGTGGATTTACTTCACCTTTAACAACTCAACAGGTGAGGGGTTTCATAGGAAGTCTCCAGTACCTGTATGTGACATCCCACACCAAGTGCATCTGGGGTGTCTGTGAAGATGGTTTTCATGTTTTTAATAATATACAACTTAAAAGAACTTTTCTGAGCCAAATTACAATTAAAATAATTACTTTCTAAAACACTGCAATGAATTACATATATTGTTTTATCAGAAAGGTTTAAATAAAGCTTAAAACGGCAGCAAGCATTATTGTCACATCTATCCCCTTTCTGTCCTTCCCCCTTCCCCAGTAAGGAAACATCACAAAATCACTAGAGCACTATCATAATCTCACTTCAGAGACTAATTTTTTATATATATGAAAAAAAAAGTAAAAAGGAAAATGGAAGAGAATTATTTAATTTTTAAATCTCTTCTCCTCAATTTTCTAGGTGTTATGATTTTTGTGTATGACCATCACTGAGGAAAGCCAGAGCTTGCCAGGCAGAATGAGTTAAGTTTCAAAATTAGGAGGGGCAATTGAAGAAGCAACTTCTTCTATGAGGATTTAAACCCTATAAAAGCTCATACTAGTTGCACTCAAATGTTACTTCTTTACTTCTACATAAGAATATTAACAGAGAAACTTTTAAAAGATTCCCTCTGCAAGCAGAATAGCAAAGAAACTGCTCAGCATGATTTGCAGAATAAGTCAAGCAAAACAATTAAAGGAACAGGAGAAAATAAGGAGAGGCTTCACCTTAAATCGGCATCTTCTGTAGACAAATGCTTCACTTTCCTACTCAAATACACCAAAAAGGTTCTCCATCTATTTTAATTTCTCTTGTTAGTTTCTTGCCAAATCCTTTTGAACTTAATGTCTTAAAATGACAAGTACAGGTCACTGCACCTCTTGTGCAAATGCCCATGACACTTCTCCTAGTAAATTTCCATATATGTCAAATTTCAATAAATGTCAGGAAATGTCAGTAAATTTCAAAACAGATCAATAATGGGATGAGCTCTGAAAGAGCTTTAATTCCTCTAAGATTCACCAACACAGAACACTGGAAGAAAACATCAGAGACTAATAAGACTCCTAACTTAAAGAAAGGATACAGAGCAAATGCAATATTTTTCAGACTTTTGGGAATTCATACATGCTGTGAGAGAAAAGGGGGATTAGAATTTCTCTTACTTCCTTGACCTTAGACATCAGAGAATCCAATTTGTGACACATTCATTGTATGCCATACTTTTAGTCCAAAATTTTGTAGAATGATGTGTTAACATGTACCTCTCAATTGCATTAACAATTACTGAATTACAGAAAACAGCTTCTCACTTCAAACATTTTCAAGAACACAAGAACCACCAGTATTTATTAATTGGGATTATACTTACTGAGAAAGTAAAAATAAGTTTCTGGGTTTGCCTTACAGATACATTTAAGAAAAGAGCAGAACATGAAATTCTAGACAATGCACCTCAAGAATCTGATATTAACAAATCTCTTGTTATGCATGTCCTATGTAGTGCAGAATATTTACCTGGTGGGGGAATCAGAGGTGGAGCAGTACTGACAGTTGGAGGGGGTGGGAGGAAAGGAGGTGGTGGAAGGTGAGTGGGTGGGGCTCCTGGAGGGAAAAATGGAGGTGGCTTGGTAAAGCTGTCTACTTCAGGATTAGAGCGTTCTGAAAGAACCTGTAAAATAGCAAACTCTAGTTACAATTGATATGTGAAAAGGGTAGAAGACAGGCTTCCTCTCTTTCAGTTACTTAAATAGGAAAGTATCACTTCACACCTAAAGACCCATATTCAGATGGTCTAAGTTCTACCTGCATACCTACGTTCAGCATCCCATATTTGCCAAGTACATTTAAAGGTCTAAGAACACCTTAAACTAGTACAATGGAAAATATTTAAAAATCAATATGAAAATCATGAAAACCCAAGACTATAAATTACTTAAATGCTCTGAGATCTGATGAAAAACAAATGGCAGTACTGTCAATATCAACACTACAATACCTTACTATTTTCACTGTTTAACCTCAACCTAAGTTGGCATGGAAAGGCAACTAGAGTACCAGTCAACCCTGATCCTTCTGTCTGATTCTTCAGGAGAGAAGTGTATTCTATCCATGCAGATTTAGTTGCATTCTCAGGATAATAGAAGTCTAGACTAAAACCAAAGACCAATCTTGCAATTTATAGTAAAGCACTATAATATAATTAAAAAAAACCTACTACCTTCACACCTTATTTTTAAAAGGCTGCATTTCTCAAACTGCATACAAAGGGGCTTTCACTTCCAGCATTAATGTCTGGCAGGTATAGGGGGACAAATGGGCAGTTTAAATATTTATCTTTTCATTCCATAAACAAAACCTAATCCCACACAGATCTAGCAGAGCCAATGCTGTCTCCTGGATTGTAAGTCTGCAACATTGTCAATTTCTTTTCAGTAAGAGGTATACCAAAACATCCTTCTTCTGAAATTTATCAAATTTCATCTTAATATATTTTGGTAACTGCCAAAATTTTATTCCTGGACTTAAAGCTACTTCTGTATTACTCATTCATATACACTGATGCTTTAGTCAGAAGCTACTGGGAAAGCTAAAATATATTTTCGTCAAAAACAGAACGCAAAACTGCAGCGTAAAACCTGTATGTTGCTGTTTTCATTAGCACGCCGTCGTCCTTCCACCCTGCTGATAGTGATGGTCTGTCCAATCACATCTATTGTGCCAGATATCCGCCTGCAACACAGGACAAAGCGGAATCAACAAGCAGAATCAGAAAGAGGGGGAAGAATAAAGAAAAAGAGAGAGAAGAAAGCCTTATCGACTTATTCTAAATGGCAAAAGTTCTTTCTTCTGTAGAAAACATAAAAGACTGAAGAACATTAAATGTGATGCATTTGCTGGACTATGCAAGAGTACAGAATTAAACAATATAGCAAAAAATAGTTCTTTGATAAGCAAAGACATAAGCTGACTATACAAGTTGCCTTCCTCCCAATAAAAGACACTACTTCTTCTTCTCTGTTACCAAAACAAACAAACAAACAAAAAGATCTCAAAACTTCAGTATGAAAATTATATATTAAGCAGAAGTGTCACAAAAATCTAATGTAAAATAGCTATAAGCTATTAATTAGCAGTAATTTCTAAATTGCATGAAACCATAATGAAGGATTCCATGGAAGATCAAACAAAAAGAAAGTAAGCCAAAAGAAAAAAACACTAGCATAAAACATAAACACTAAAATTAAAAGTATAATCAATCTCTCAAAATCTTCAGTAAATTAACCCTAGGGAAATATACTGACAGAAGAAGTACTCCAGGCACCAGATCAGGAAATATGACAAGTATCTGAATGTCAGCTACTAACACTGAAGCCTGATATTTGTGACAACAGGAATCACTAGTCTGAAGAGAGGAATAATCTAAAGTATAGTGAAATTTCTTGTTTGCAGCCCTAAAATGCTAGAAATCAAGGTTTATAGAAAATGTACATAACAAAACCTATCTGCTAAGAGTTATAAAAATCAGGTTGGACTAAGACCTTGAGCAACCTGGTCTAGGGGGAGATGTCCCTGCACATGGCAGGGGAGGTTGGGCTAGATGATCCTTAAGGTCCATTCCAACCCCTGGAATTCTATGATTCTGCATGCTCTGCAGGCCACTTTTGATTTCTAAAAGAGGTTAAAAAGTAGGATTCACCTAGGTCAACTTTGTTAGAAAATGAGGTACAAAACTACAGTGCTTATGGTTAACAGAAACAAAGGTACAAAATCTGTGTCTCACCCATAAGTGAAACCACAGTAGATAAAACTGATAATATTTACCAAGAACATGATATATAACAGTAAAAGACTGGAAAAAAACCTTCCTGAAATTTCTACAGAAACAAATCCACATGAAGAAAAAAATATTTCTAGTTTCAGAAGACAAAGGTACTACTAACCACATGAATACAAATACCAGGGAGAACAACTGTAATTTAGAATTATAGGCTCAAGAGTTCTGCCAGACTGATAACTTGGACTCCAATTGCTCAGATACCTAGATTCCAATGCAACTGACAAAGACACAGCAGACACTAGAGCATGAGGGAACAGTTGGATGTCCCAGAGATAATCTGAAGTTCCTTAGAAGACTGCATACTGAGGATCATATAAATGCTTGCTCTCTGAGCTTTTCAGTATCTGCATTTAGAGCTTCCTCCTGAATGTTAAAGCAATTTTATTAAGCACAATAGTTTAGAGTTAAGAAGAAAAAAAACCCCAACAGTGCAACAGTACAAGAGTCTGAGAAAATATCTGCAAAATAAAAGAGTATATACTATACAGCAATACATATTTTACAATGATAACAGAAGTTTAAGAAATTCTCTGATCTTCTAGTACCCCACCCTAGAAGTCAGATTGTTCTGATAATGAACACCCACTTTTCTAAACTTCCCCAGCTGTCTTGCATGGCCTTCCAGCACTGCTACACTGGATTATTATTTTGCTTTAAGTAACTAAATTGAGAACATAGGTATTATAAAACAGTTGTTAAAACAACTGTTCTCACCATCTCAGTCTTCACTGACAGTGCATTTGGTTTTAGAGTTCTAAGACACTTGCTCTCCTCCATTACTGGTATCCTCTCTTACTTATCTAAACAATATCCTAAAAATTCATTTTATCTAGCTTTAGTCCTTGTGTATAACAGCTGACACTCTTCTACAGCAAAAAGCCCCTGCCTGGCTTACTCCACTAATTTACAGGGCTTCCACATGGGAGTGATGTGCTCAGCAGAATTAGACTTTTCCTCTCTTCTACTGTTTGCACACTGCCAGCAATTCTTAGAATCAGCACTGAAAACACATACAGTGACACCAGTACAAGACTACTGGGCATTAAAGCAATACATGCCTCAATCATATTACAATAATATTAATTCTGGTTTGGGAAGCAGCCCAAACACACCACTGCAATATCAAATGAAGCAAACCTAGACTACCAATTAGCTGGTTCCTAGACTTCAATTTTACCGAAATAAACAATTTTACTTATTTTTTTTAGATTCTGAAGAGTATATCTGTGCTCACTCAATCTCACTGAGATTACACTTTATTATTTAAATAATGCTATATAATGTTATGTCCACAGTTCTTCCCAACAACTGCCAAGACATTATTTTTCATAATGGTGGATGAGTTCAGGAATTTGCCATCATACCTTGAACTTGACAAATTCTCTTTTTCCAAGATTGCAATAATGATTTAATTGAGAATTCCACTAAAAGAGCTTGAAATTGAACAAGAGAAAGCATAGATTCAGCTGCAAATGAAGCAGCAGATGAAACCTCGAATCACATGTAAAGTCACACACATTAAGCCACAGCAAGCTGGCACAAGGAGAAATCTCCAAGACTCCCTAGACATTATCTAGAGTCGTGATAAGTAGCAGGCAATACTCAGTTTCTGTCTCAGTGCTGTAAGCAAAGAAAAGGAAGGGTTTGGTTTGTCCCTTACACGATCGAGGCACCTGGGATACAGATGCATTCCCAATGGATCCTCTGAAACATAAAAAGGCAATCCACGTGTGGGATGCACATGATCCCACAGCAGAGTTCATACAAAGTGTAGCTTGAAAGGAACATTCCAGCAACTCTGAGTTATCTCACTCTAATTAGAGAATGGTAATTTATGAGCTATTTGCACTAAGAATATCACTTCCATGGAGATTCATTCAGAAAGATAATCTCATTTGGCAAGCTGAGCTTAGATTCTACAGAGCAAAGAGAAAGAGGGGAAAAAGAAGAAGAAAATAAAGAAGGCAAAACCAGTTACTCTCCAAGTTCATTACTACAGATAAAATAAATAAGCTGCTTTTTGGAACACCCCTATATGACTCTCCAGAATCAGACAAACTACAGGATGCCACATCTGTTTAGTGGATTTATAGTATAGTCAAATATGTATAGAATTTCAACATGCTTCAATATTTATTCTCTTCTTCCTTGTTTTGCTTATGTATTTTATGTTTTATTTTCCTCTTCTTGAGGACAGCCTCAACTTTGCTAAGCTCACCACTAACTGATAAGAAAAAGAAGCAAATAGATTTACTAAAGAAACCACTTGTATAACAACCCAATTTTTTTTCAAAATAAGCTCTCAGTTTCCATCACTTAGTCTTGCAAGGCTGAAATGGGTATTTCTTCATAGAAATGAAAGATCAGAAATCCATTTTCTATAAAAAATCTGTTTACAGAAAGCCTTAAGCACAGATAAAGCTGCTAAACATTCCACTGCACTGATGGGCTAATTTCTCTGAAAGCAAAACCCGTTTAAATGTAATGTACACTTTAGTAGCTGTAAAAGCATAAATGGAGGTTAAAAAACCAAACAACTTTTGCCAGAAAAAAAGTTTTGTGATGGAGAACTGTAATAGGTATTACTTAAATGAGAAAATACAAGCTTTTGCTGCCAGCTTATAAATGAAACCTATGCTTATTTTTTTATTACTGAAGAAAAACTATCTCCCAGTCCTTGAAAAATGACATAAGGAAAGGCACAGGTCTGAAAACAAGATACTTCCATGAAGTAGTTGGTTAGGACATATTTGAAATATGTCAAACTCCTCTTCATGGTCTAGAAAGCATTGCAATCAAAAGAGGCTCCTTCAGGTTTTTACTATAATGCTATAATTTACTATAATGCTGACTATGCATACAATAAACCTCTCTCTCTGGAGAACAAATATTTAATTTTATACCATGCTGTTGGTATATAATGTCCATTTACTAAACTACTTCCATTATGATCTAACTCCTCCTTCAGGGTTATGCAACACTTCACACTACTAAACAGCCCTAAGTATCACAGAATCAAGGCAAGAAATTCAGGTATCATTTCTAAATAACCAATATCTCAGCTATGATTAAGACAGCCATCATTCAAGCAAAATTTTCCAGAGATACACTTTTGAACAAGCCCTTGAATTACTCATTTAGGATGCAATTCTAGTGAATTAGCAACGTTTATTTACTGGTGAGCAATAATACTCTTCCTATTCTACCAACTACAGCTTCCATATTGGTAACAAGCAATATTGCCTAGACCTCAGAGGTTTTTTGAGACAATTTGCAATCACATGAAAACATAAACTGGACTCAAATCAAAAAGGTAAAAACATAAGCACAAAATTACTTTAATGTTTGTTAACAAACAAACTAAAAAAGTAAACATCACTATCTGTCCCCAGACTGGCAACTGAAGAGCTATATGTAATGGAATGTCCATGTGTAAAATCATCCATGAAGCAATATTACAGCTCTGACTAGTAAGTGAGGAACTAAAATGTTAAATGCGCATCATAGCCTGAATTGGTTTTCCCCTTTACCTTAGTTCCCATGATTGGTCCCTTCTATTTTGTTCCTACCACTTCTTGATGCCTGAACTCGCTTTTCTGGAGGCAGTGTTTGTCTGTGACTGAGAAGAGCTGCTGCTTTTTCTGATAAGGTAAATGACCTAGGTCTTTCTGTTTTCTCACAAATCCCCACACCAATGGTGCTATACCAAATTGTATCAGTTTTCTCTCCCCTTCACAAAATATACCAACTACCGCTAGAAGCCAAGAGAAGTTTTACTGCTACATGAGAAATGCTTCCAGCAATTTCTCAACAAGGCTATTGAAAATGCCACATGGCACAAAGGCAATTATTTTAAATTATCAAAGAGCTGTATTGCTGAAAAATTTCTGCCTACCTAAAATAAAGTTTTTAACTGAAGAAAGAAATTAGTCCAACCCCATAAAACACTGCCTGGTTATACAGAAATTAATAATAGAGGCTCTTATAAACAGAAAATAGTAGATGCATTATGAAAAAGTCATTAAAGTAGAAGTATATATAATCTACACAACTAATATATATTCACTCACTGAGGTACTCTCAGACTTCTGAGCATACACTATATTTGACCACTTGGTAGAAATATCTTTCTTTACAGAAGAATCTATTTTAAGCAAGTGTATCCATAGCAGCAGGTATGAAATAAGGTAAGAAGTCAGTTTTGTCATTGTAACAACTTATAATTACAGTATTCATACTAAATAGATACAAAACAATCTAGTCTACCAACTGGAATGCATGAGTGATACAATTGTCAATGTGATATGTCACAAAGTGATACATCAAAATAAATGTCACAAAGTGACACACCCATCACAACTGAAAATTTCACACAACCACTGAATCTACACAATGCATTTTTTCTGCAAATTTAAACTTGACTACATTTTAATATCCTGGTTGTTAATTACTTCCAAAAGTAGTTTAGAGGTTTTATGTCCACCACTGAGATGAACAAAGAATTGAAATCTTCTAACAAAACCTATGCTAGATATAGGTTTGGGATCCTTAACCTGAGAACAATATATTCCAGATTGAGAACTCTGTTACAACAACATCATATAGTAAAAGCAATTCAGAAAAGAAAATTTAAAAAATAGCTACAGAGGTTAGCATAAAGTTTGGAAGACTCTACTCATATCTTTAACAAAGGAAAAAACAGAACTAAAATCTACTAAACACAGAGCAGCATAATCTGATAGCTCGGAAAAAAATGTAGGCTACCAGAAGGAATATTCCAGAAGTGAAAGAAAAGTGCAGGCAGGGGTATGATTGACTTCCCCGTCCCAAGAAAAATACATTTGGGTGTTGAACTGACTCTTATAGGATGGAGTAATTGAACGCAAGTGCCTCTAAATTAGTCAAGGAACTTAGGGATGCAGCGCTAAGTCATAGCTCTTAATCTTGAATGGTTGACATTGACAATGTACAACCTGTTCTACCTTTCTTACCACTGTTTGTAGCATGATGGTAATACAAGGGCTTTTAATTGGCACAGAACCAAAATTTCTAAACAGGATTGCTAAATAACTGAAGTAAAGCAGAAGCTTTACAGATTCATCCTAAACCAAGTGCCAGATATCAAACAGCAGTGGCTTAGATATAAAAGGCAGAATTTACTAAAGCCTGGATCTGGGAGAAGGAACTTAGTAAGGAAATAATTTCTCTAATTTTAAAGAAAATAGAATAAAATATTCATATATGGAGAAACCAAAGCTGCCTTGCAGAACGAGACTAGGTCCCAGGAATTCTTCCACTTGTTAAAGTCATAGCTGTCAGATTCCATTGTTAAACTGAAAAAAATTCTGACCCTAACCAGAAATATTACGATGGCAGATTTAATTATACACAGAAAACACAGTGTCATAAATCAACAACTGGATTTTTGTAACTGTCTTGTTACTTGGTCTTGCTGTTTTTTCTCTCCTTTTTTCTACTTTTTCCCAAATAGCCAAGAATGTAGCTAGCACAGTATTCATGTGGGATTATGCTAAATGTGATTAGAATATCTCTACCCTTCTTTTTTATGTTTAATAGAAACATACTTTCCTTTTTTGTTCCTACAAAAATTGTAAACTTCAGACATAGGGGTAACAGCAGAAGGAGTTTTTTGGTCATGAGTTACAGCTAACTGACCTGTTTGCTGGAATTCCTGATTTGAATAAGGCAGGAGGAGATGTGAAATCAGGTTTGGTCGACTGCACTGCCAACTCTTTCTCCAAATTTCCAGTTCTGCCCTGCTGTACCTTCAAAATAATGTTTCATCATTAGTTTACCCTTGCAAGTGTAGTAGCTCCAAAACTCAACACATAGCCAACACAAAAAGAAAGTCCACCTTTATTAAGAATTTCAGAAACTGTCACCTCTGCACAGCTAGCAAAATAATGTGTTCTGTATTGATGTATTACTTGTGTACTGTGTTTAATATATATAAGGATCAATATGCCAGAGAATGAATTGCTACAGAAGACCAGACAGTTTAAATATTTATTTTCCAAGCATTTCATTTGTATGTGAACAGACCAAACTGATTTTCTTGAAGAATTTCCTGTATGAAAAAAATTACATCTTAATTTTTTAAAGAACAAAACTTATTGAGAAAAAAATCTTCTTAATCTTAGCAGAGATATCTAACAAGACTCTTATGCACTACCAACAAACCATGAGACAAGAAACTTGAATGGATTCTCCATCTGCCTCACTGATTGTGAGATCTAGTAACGACTTAATTTCTGAGTCATACCAGGAAGTCATCTCATACTCTGGGTTATACAAACTGTAAAAGACTTTTCATTAGTTCAGACTGAATACTTCAGAAACACCCTGCTGTGGCTGAAGGACAGCAAAATTCCAGACACTTCTTTCATTAAAGCTATGCAAAACCTTTGGTGCAAGTACATTAAGTATTGTTTTACTTCAGCAGCAGCTACATGTGAAAGAAAAACCTACGTGGGTTAGCATTAAGGACAAATATAGTGATTCAATTTTTAAAATCACTCCCACTGTACCAGCTACATAGCTGCATTAATCTATGCAGCTAATTCACTCATGCTGTAACATTGTATAAGCTGTTTTCTCACAGTTTGTAGACAAGTGAACTACTGTGTTTCTGCAGAACCTCACTTCTAAACATAGGCACATCTTTCCCAAATCCATAAAAACGCACATAAACAGTTAAAATTCATTAAAAATGGAATGAATGTTTCCTATACAGAAAAATGAGGGGGAAAAGGTCTAAGTATTTATCTGAAAAATACTTCTACAAGTTAATTAGCAATTGGAAAATGTAGGAGACGTTCTTGCCAGTTGCAGGAGATTAATATAAATTACATGTAAATACAAATTTATTACATTTACAATTATTATTATATTACATGAGACTGCTTCAAAAGAGAAGGAAAATTAAATTAATAATTATGTGTAAACTTTTAAAACATGACAAACTCTTACAATACAATTATTACCTGTACTGTTTCATCACCAGAGTCAGTACTGAGCTGGAAATAGGGCAAGTTTTGGGTTGGACTACTTATCCTTTTTCCTTCAGAACATTTCAGACAATTGCAAATTTTAACTCCTACTGTCTGCTATTTCTGCTGTCCCACAGCACAGTTATAATGATAACTAAGAAAGGTATAAAGCCCCAGAAACCTTCTGATCCATTCTTGTGAGAATAAAATCAAAATAACTGAATATCCTCAAGTAGAATATAAGAGAAAACAAAAATACCCATCTGCAATTAACTGTTTTGTATCTGCAATTGACAGGAGTACACAAAAGAAAGAAACCACTCCAAGTCACTTCAAAGACAGTTCAAGAACAAAAATGACTACATATTAGGAATAGGTAAAATAAATAACCTTTGTATTATAATTTCAAGTTTAGGATCAAGCAAGTAAATGAGAAACTGAAAAAATGAGAATATAAAAAAAAAAAGTTGAATCCTTAAGATAAATGCTGTCATGTAGGTCTTTCTATTCTCTGAAAACCAGCATTTCTGAATGGAAAAATTATTATACATAACTTGATTTATTGTCAGCTAACCCCAGAAGGATAACACAAAAATATGGAAGATCAATTTTCATATCAGAGTTGTCAAGGATAACTGTTACAAAACATTGTAGTAAGAGCTACAATGCCACAGGAAAAAACAAACATGTCTACAAAAGCTTCCCACCCCATCTGCACAAATTATTTAATCTGCACAAACGAACGCATTACAACTAGAAATAAACCATCACATCAAGAAAAAATCATTTCACTGGGAAATTTGTTAGTTCACCAGGCCACTAACTCACATGTTTGCAGAAGAGTGACGAACAAAGCAACACTTTTTAATCCGCATTTTGTGAAGTATAAAGAAAGTCACTGATGTAAGATGAAAGTATGAAATAATGGCTGTGTCCATATCAGTTGTTCTTCTATCAGTCTCTGCTGACATGGGAAGCAATACTCAAAAAAAACGAGAGCAACCAACAAAATTTTACTAAAATTCACCTTAAAAAGATGGTATCTGCCATCGAGAATCTCTGCACTTGGTCTTACTTCCATAGCTTTGTCTTCAGCCTAAGTTAAATAACACATTGCCCATTAAGATACCACACAACTCTTAAATGATGGGCCACAGTCTCAGTAAAGGAACAGATGCAATCTAGCTGTAGCTGTCTGTCACACTATCCACACAATTGCCAGTGAAGCAACACAGTAGCAATCGAGGTTCAGGGAAGGGAGTCAGGTGCAAACTAACAAATGTACTGAACTGGGCAGAACAAGCTTACGACACACAAGCAGCTTTACAGGGAAAAAAAACATGTACAATACAAAAAAAGCACTATTTACCGTAATTTTATTTGTGGTTGAGGTAACTGGCAAAATTTCAAGACCCATTCGTATTCTCTTTTGTTTTTCACAGTAAGCTTTCCAGGTATCCTCATTGAAGCCATAGTTAAAATAATCGGAGAGATCAGCCCCTTTAAGTAGTGAAGCATATGTTTTTTAGGACATTACAAAGCTCATCTTTTCTCCACTAAATATATATTCATCTCTACTTAGAGCATCAACACTGATTAGCTACTGATCTAAAAAACCACAACTGAAATGCACAATTCATCAACAGATACAGAGTATTCACAGCTAAGATCATAAAACCATTAAAATTTAGTCAGAAACAGTAACTTGCCTAGCATCATGAAGTGGGGACCAAGGGTAGAGAATGTCATGGGATATCATAATCCCAATACCTTTACAACAAGATAAATATAAGATCTATAGATTTGCTTTATGTTCAGTAAAGAACCGCTCCCTTTTGTTTTGCTTGTTCTGTATTTGACTTCTCACTTTGTTTTGGCTCCTGGTTTCCTCTGATGCCATGAAGTATTTTTAGTGTAAGAGAACACAGTTGTAACTCAAATGCACAGAATATATTTAATACGGCTAACATTTCAAACACCAGATAATCATCAAAGGCTTCTTTTTTTTCCATTTTGTAGACACTATTTGTATTACCAAAGCAAGATACAAACACTAGAAAAAACCTATACGCAGCAGCAAGATGTACTGGTACTAAAAAACCAAATCAATGCTGGTATAATTAGAAAAGTCTGGACAAATTACTTGAGCCAAAGAGACAATAAAGAGGAGACTCATGGAAAGTCCATGCAGCAAGTCCCAGTTTCTTATTCAAAGCTCATGGATGTCTGTGCGTAAACACAACCCAGCACAGGCAGCTACGTTTCAAGATTCTTCATGCTGAAACCTGCCAGAACTATTTTCCATTTTGCTTTATCTTGCGTTCCATGGCACAGAGCAATGGCAGTAATCTCCACAGAAACACAGATTTCTAAGAGGAGTTCAGGATACACATATATTAAAAAAATGGCCTGTCTCCTCCTGACATGTGATGAGGATCTATGCTAAGAAACACTGCACACCCCAGCACTCTGTGGCACACCAGGCAGCAACAACAACTAACATAGCTGCTTCTTCCAAATGATGCTGTAAAGTACCTCAGAGGGATAGGTAAGATGACATCTACATGCAGTCAACAGGAATCACTATTAAAATAATGTAATGAACACCTACGTATGAGTTAACATAAACCAGACATTACCTGGCTTTCTCCAAGGTTTATCTTCAAAAGAATCTAAATCTACTTCCAGAAGTGGCACACCATTAATACTCCCTGGTGCATCTAGATCCAGTCCTTTAACTTTTGCACCTGTGAATAAAAGCTGAAGTTAGAGCCTTCTGTCTCTACCAAATGGAATTTTATCAGTAGCATTACACTTAGAATAAAAATAAATAAATAAATAAAAGCCAGACAAATTTATCAACAAGTTTTAAAAACAAAAATTACTTCCTTAATCCAAAACAATACAGGTTTTTATTTTTTTAACTTTTTTTTTTAATATTTAATATTACTATGTAAATTTTCTTACCAGAAGATCCATAAGCTCGTCCTCCTGCCTTAATATTGAGATTCACAGGTGCTGCTCCATAACTTCAAGAAATTCACAAAAAATGAATTAGACAAAGAAAACTTTTAAACCAGAAGAAAACACAAAACAAGAGATAGCTAGATCCAGAAACATATTGGACCCAGGCTCAATCACCATCCTGAATCTCTAGCTTTCCAAGCTGGTAACTGTAAAAGTAAAGAGATCAGCCTAGGAGGAAGAGAGAGTACCTTTCTATGCTCAGTAGCAACTTCTCCAACTAATAAACAGTAGTGAGGCAAGTCCCAGTCACTCCTCATGAGTTGAAAGGATAAAGACCTTGATAGAAACAAGAATGGACAGAACCAGAAGAAGAGAGAGAAAGGAAAAATGCAGTTCATTTAGGGATACAGATGACAGTCTGGGGATTAGAGTAAAAACAAAATAAATTAAAAAAAAAAGGAAGGCTTTAGATGGATAATTTTCTCTTTTCATAATCATTCCATTTAATCTGTACAGAAGTGGAAAATACAAGCATTTCTCTAAAATGATTGAAATGCTGTTTCAATGTACTTCTAGTAATCATCCATCCTAGTGACCAACAGAAAAGTATGTAATTTTTCACTTTCTAAAATACTTGAGAGCTTTCTTCATAAAAATGCACTTAGAAACCTAACTACTGAATAGATTTAACTACCTTAGGAATTACAGTATTGTTCATTTGCAACATTAAGAGCTAGCCCTCCCTACCATTTTTGTGTAATGTAACTTATCCTCACAGGTGACCTATACACATCATGAGATTAGCATATAATTAGAAGGCCAGGGTATAGTTTACAGTATCCATTTCTGTGCAGTTCTAGCTTTCTTTCAGGTGCTACAACAGCATAAAACTGACACAAAACATTAAACCTTCTGATATGCCACGCTGTATTTGTGCATGATTTTATCAAGCCAATCTATTGGGTTTTTTAAACCGCAGTTGACTTCTATATGAAAAATTATTTAATCCTATGGAACAGACTTGTTCTATTGCAGTTAAAACGTACAGCAGTGTTCTGTTTTAGTTTTCTGCCCTTCCATGAACTTTCTGTCCAATTTGCCCAGAAAAGAAGATTTTTCAGAAGATAGGCATTTCTATATAAAACTTTCTACTTCAATTAGGTTAGGATCATCTACTCATTGTTTCCTGCATACATGGAAAGAGCATTAGCAAATCCACTGAGAATATAAATTTAGTTTTGCTTTAGTGCTACAAAATTTGAAGTCACTGCCTAGACCACAAGAATACTGCAAGCAGTGAAAGCAGAAGAATAAAGAACTGAAAGAAATGGCTCTTTTTCTATTACATTGATTTGCACAGTATTTTAGAATATGAAATACTCCAAAAATGTTTAAAAATACTGTTTCAAACAGGTGTAAATATCTGTATTCTAAAGTTAAAAACAAAATAATATACATGGGTCAGGCTTACCTGCAGACCTGTTATACTTTGAATAAGAAATGGCACCCTAGTAACTCTGGTTTTAATAAGCATAAAAATATTAAGATTGCCAAGAAAAACAAGTAAACCATGTCCCTTAGAAAATTTCCATGCAGTGAAAAACATTATTTCATAATTTTGGGTAAAATTAGCACTATACAAAAGTGTTCAGGGGAAAACAAGTCCCTTTTCAAGACCAGAAGGGATATGGGGCAATAACAGTAGCAAGATCAGTACAAATGCCTAAACCATGATCTTGAGAAATAATCTCCAGAGACTCACAGCTCAATTCTTAAGTACATTAAAATCTTGTTTGAGAACATCAATAGGGATTGAAACTAGAGGTTTAATTAGAACACTACAAACAGGATGAGGGACAAAGACTTCTCATGTTCTTGCCATTCTATCCTTTGCAACCAAAATGTCAGTCACAGTAACAACCCCAAAAATGCTATATAACATAGCCGTTCCGTAATGAAAAAGAACTCACTCCTTTACAAATTTCATACAATTATTTCTCAAAATCTGAAAACACAATTTAAACTCGTACAAAACTCTTCTTTGTCTTCCACTGATTTTATTTCACTTGTTTTCAAGCCACTGTATCATTAAAAACGTTGTTAAAGAGCTGAAAAAATTCTCAATTGACAATAATTGTGCACACAATCTCACATTTTTGGCATGTATTAAATGGCAAATATGTGGAAAAGATAAAAATAATAAAAATATATAAATACATAAATATTAAAAAGGCAAGTAAATGGCAAGTATTAAAGAGACTGAATTAATAGTTAAATATAATCTCAAAAGTTTCCCCAGTTAATGTCTGTAAATAACTTACCTAAACTGTGGCGCTCCTGTCTTAATATCCCCTATGGTGACTTGAACATCATCTTCGTCATCATCACTATCACTATCACTGTCATCCTCGGCCTCTGCCGTCTTCTATAAAAGAAAAAATCATTGCTTAGACAAAAGCACTTACATTCACAATGGAAACACAATCCAGACAAAACTACCCATTCTAGAAATCTTTGAAAGAAGAAAATTCTCCCCTTCCTAGATATTAGAATTGAGTAGCATTAACAGTAAATTTAAGAGGTTACAAGTATCTGAAACATCTGGACGAAAAAAGAGAAGTGTCTTCAATATTAGGTTCAGTTTCTCAAGCATAAAAGAGCTTCCACTATCTAGTATCCTTTTTCCCTCTAGCTAGGTCATACACACTGGTTCTATTCTTACCTTGTCAGTCAGGAAAGAAATAAAAGATATGCAAGAGTAGCTTCTTGCCTTCATCAATTATATATTCAACATAACTCAGGTAAACGTTTTTTCAGTTGATGATGAACACTGGAGAAATCTATTTACGTCCTAACATAAGTAAGCTACATAAAATACTTAAAACATTTCAGCAACAGACAGAAAAATCAGATACAAGAGCACGCTGTAGGCTGAGCTTTTTAGACTCCAGACTAGCACTAGAACTAAACATTTCCCTCCTAAGTGGTAATGATTAATTCAGACCATTTTATTTGTAGATCTGTATTTTTCCTCACAATGAACATCACTCTCCTTTTTCTATGCAGAATTCAATAACCGTGTATTAACCAGTCAGCTCTTCACAGTTAGGCCTTGATCTTACTATCTCAATTAACTTTGTATCATCAGAAAGCTTGTGATTCCACAACTTAGTTCTTTTCCAAGTAAACACATTAAACAGCACAGGTTAAGCACAAAATTCCAGAGAATCCTCCCTGGAGGTGACTTTACTGTGAGAACATAACTTGGATTTCTACCCTTTGTTTTCTATCTATTACAAATCAGCTAAAATCAGTTATCCATGTACAACTTATTCTGTAACTGCATAGCTTTGTAAAATCCTTTGGTGAGGAGCTTCTTCAGAAACTTTGGGAAATCCAAGTGAACTTTTCCAGCCAAATCACCCTTATTCACATCTTGGAATCCTTCAGCAAGAGGCTGGACACATCAAAGCCAAGCTGATTCTGCCCTGGCAGCCTGCAGTTATCTATGCACAGCTGAGTTCTAGCCTTTGTCTACTATATGATCTATTCAATTGCCTGGTACATTAAAAAATCACCAAAAATCATCAGCTCCTTAGATGATAAGACGTTGGAACGCAGTTCATCCTCACTACACAACATAAATTCAATTTCATAACGATGAAGAGTCTATGCTTGGGGTAGGGAAGACAGGCCAAGTCTAGATCAGTATGGATACTGCGTAAATGACAGCTCAAGACAGTCTTTCAAATCGGTATGGCTGAAAAGTGCAAATTCATCACTCACCAGGCAACCCACACACACAACATTAAAAAGGCATCAAAGAAGGAAATAAAACTTTGTCTGGACAATGTACCTTTCCAACCAAAACCCACTTCACTTATAATCAATGATTTCTTAGTTCCCTCCTCAGAGAAATATTCACCTGTTCCTATTCCACCAACCTGAACAACACCCATTTTTCTAAGCTGCTGCTGAAGGTTCATGGACACCATTTACCATAAAGTTCTCAATTCTGTGGAGATATTCTAATGATAACCTAACAATGCCAAGCTTTATATAGAAAAAAAAAAATAAAAAACCATGCAAGTACAAGAAAACTGACCCTATAAGGATTTCCAGAAATACAAACACCTTTGATGCACTTTAAGTAGCTTTTCAGTTTAAACAACTGAAATAAGTTCCAAAGTTTTAGTAACTTTTTCCCTAATTTTAAATACACTGTAATGCCTGTCATAAATAAAGTGTTAGAGATACAGTAAAAAAAGTACTTCACTAAGAGGCCAGTCCTTGAAACTTGCACAAATATCTCAATGATGGTTTCTGCATCGCTTAAAGTTATTTCTTGGAAGATATAAGCTAAAATGTGCCACTGAAGTAAAACTACAATTTTCTCATAGGACTTCTCATACTTAATTTTTTCCCATTGACAGTAACCTGAATACTTTAACCAACACAACAACTGTAAATTTAATTTCTTGGTCCTTTCCTTCGCCATACTAACACTGATGTTATCAGACATAATAAACATTGAAGACTACTACAAAGCAAGTGTTATGTTGCCTCTGAAAGGCATGTGTAATCATCTCCTGGTTCACACTTTCACATAGTTCTGCAAATGGTGCTTGTCTATCACATTCAAAAAAAGAAAAAGGATCAGAGGACTTTATTTTCTTATCACTGAGAAAAAACAGACCATCATTTTGGAAAGGATGTCTCTAAGAAAACAGAGGTGTCTTCTAGCACCAGCTTTCTGTCCACCCAAAAACACCTGGAATATTATTCATTTATTTTCTGTAAGTTACACTTAAAAAGTGGACTGCAGCTGGAAATTTGATTTCCTAACTTAGTAATTTCTACAGTTTCTGCAGATCACAAACACATTTTAGAAAAAAAAAGGTGTACACCTAGATACTAAATCATTTATATATAAGTCCTAGTCAAATTATGAATTCCCAGTAAGTCATTGAATCAAAACATATGCAAACAGTATTTCAAAAACATGTTTAAAACTACCGTTTTCACAACTCCATTTTCTGCAGCTTCCTCTTCACTTCCAGGTGGGGGTGGAGCACTTAAACAAAAACAAATAGGAAAAGATGAAACTAGGTATTTATGCACATGTTATTTCACAGGTATCAGCTAATGGCAAAAAGAAAAAGCTTTGCTACATCATTCCAGATGAAAAGCCAAAGCTCCAGGTGTCTTCTGTATTAATTAAAAAACAAAGTTGACTTACTAAAAATAATCTAGATGAATATAACTTTATACTAGCAATATTTAGCTATCATAAATAATACTAACTGGATGTTCGTAGAATAGTTGGACGTAATGAGGCATTACACTTGGATCTTCTTTTGAAATCAAACTGAAATACTTTGTAACGTATGAAGGGAGAATAAGTTGTTTGGGTTTTTTCTGCGGACTGACAGTTTTCAAAAACATAACGGAAAAAACCATTCAAACACCCATAGGTAATGTTTCACTGAAACAGAACTCCCACATCAGCATTGTGAAATTTTCTTCTACCATAAGGAATAGTTAGAATTCAATGACTAAATCAATTATATTTTAGCTGTAGACTGAGAACTGTAAAAAATTTAAAACTACTGGTCCATCTAAAAGGATGAGTACTGTGACATCCATGCAAATGAGCTGTCTCACTGGGCCTACCTTCTACTGTTTCCCGCACAGCAATATTTTAACTTGCACAGTCCCATTAGCTCTTAGGATGCTGCACAACAAATAGCAGAGTAAGCAGGGAGACATCTATAAACAATATTCTTTCACTGAAAAGGTATTTCTGAAACAGAGTGTGCAATTGCCAATTTTATTGAATAGAGTGATTCTAACCCCATACTCTGTTGGCAACACTCCCGTGAGTGTTGCACCCAATACAGCCCAGCTATTGCCTCGGGATTCAGGCTTGATCATTTTGCTTCATCACCTGGTAAAATGACAGACTGGGTACAGAAACTGAATAACACCTCACCATTTCTGTATGTACAAACAATGCCAAAACTAAGAGGCCAGAGACCAAAACTTTTAACAGCTGAACTGTCCCCTACTTCCACAGTTCCAAACACAACTCCTAAGATGCGTAAGTTAATATTTGCTATGTGTTTTGTCCAAAACTATGCATTGAAAGAGCCAAATGCCATGCTAGACACTATTGACGAGAAACTGGAGTATGCTGTTTCTAAAGATCATTTTGGCCTCCATGCAAATAATTTTCCTAAATAACAGTAATAGTGACAAAGATGCCAGGTCAAGAAAAGGTAACTGAAAATAAGGAATCAACTGATATGGAATAGCTTCTAAATAAAGAGCAAGTAAATAACTAAAAAGCAAATAAATAACTTTGTCCTGAAAGAGATGGGATTCGAGACAAATGCAGGTCTAAAAATCTATTAAGTGACATGGAAAAAGTGAAAGAAAACAACTGTTTCTTATTCTACAGAAATATTCGGAATCGCATAATTACACTTTATAGCTGCTTCACAATGATATCATATGTAGTCATGTGGTGGAGGTCATTACTGCTTTGTCATTCTGTGCTTGTCAAAAGTTGACATGAGTTCAAAAGAACAACTGAGCAATCTTATGAATAAGCAGCCCACCAAGGCTAACTAAATGCAAGAGTTCTCACTGAATAAATGGAAACATCTATAGAAAATAACAATGTATGCTTTCATATATTGATTTTCCCTTTATTTGTTAAATATATCTTGACAATCAATAATTTCCATATTTTACCAAGTATGAGAATTTCCTTCATTCAGCACAAGTGACTGCCCTTTTCCAGTCAGTCTTCATTACTAATCTCCATTAACTTTGTTAGATTTTCAAGGGAGCATCTTTGTGCTCTCATAGAGCTCTTTGTAACTCAAGCAGGCTCCCCTCAAATACTTCCAAGGCTTTCCTAAGTTTCTCTTTCAAATACTGTCTCACTGGTAAAAAAAGCAACAAACCAAAAGCCTAAGAAGATGTGATCTGTACATCAACTATCCAGTAATCTTCCATTGCTTCTTTGTTTTCCTGTTTCTGTAATTACACAACAAACTCTTTGGGAGACAGGATGTTTTTTAGTTGCTAAATTATCTCAAACAAGTTGTGATCCATCATTAAGACCACAAAGCACAATGATTACAAAAATAAAAGACCTGTGGGCATTTTATGAGGGGTTACTGCTGTTCATACAGTTAAACTAACTTTCATACTTAAGCGACCCAATTTCACAGGTACAGCTATTTCACGGAAAAGTGAAGTACAAGCATACTATCTTAAGGACGTTTTCAAAGACAGCAGAGTGTGTTCAGGCGCTATCAACTTTCAATGAGCTGGGAAGAAGAATGTAGTGAACATAGGTTTTGTGCAGCCATGCTACAGGGCTTCCAGTTGCCAAGATACTCACCCAGATTTTTCTTCCTCTGGTCTCTCTGCTTCATTTTCATCTACCATAAGAGAAAAGAAACACAATATTTAAGAATAAAATCCCTAGGGTATCAACTGTGATGGATTATCTTGGCAGGTAGAATATTAGGCAAGTCTTCAGATTACTATTGGACATGTTTGTAACATTTCAATTGTGAAATCAGTCGAGCAGACCCCTGAGCGTTCGCAGTGCTCTGCACTGACAGGTCCACCACATGGGCAGGGTTTAGTTTATGTTTCATTAATATCTGAACGTAAAGATCGTCCCTAAAGTTGTAAAAAAAGTTAATACATAAAAGGTTAAGGCTGTTTCAGTACTTCAACGCCGGGAACTCGGGCAGGAGAGCACCAGGGAGAGCTCGGTCCCTCCAGGGCTGCCTGTGGGGCAGGGACACCACGCGGGGCTCTCGCCGCTGAGGCCCTGCACGCCTCGGCCTGCGCGGCCCGGGCTGAGGGCCCGCGGCACCGGCAGCGGAGACCGGGGAGGGGAAGAGGCCGGGAGCCGTGGCCACCGGGGGACTGCCCGGGAGGAGTGAAGGGGCTGCGCAGCCACGGGGGCGGCGGGACTGGGGGACCTTGTTCAGCGGCCCGCCGAGGCGGCGCACGCCGCGGCCTG